ACCGGCTGAAACCTAGATTGAAAATCAAACGATCTACGCTTGAAAATTTTGAAATCCTACCCAACCAGCTGCTAGAGCATGGAAAATAGCTAGAAAACCATACCTCATTGTAGGGGACTTTTTCTTCCGACAGTTATAAATGGGCTGGGCTGCCATAAAGGTCAAACTGATGGAATTGTCCCATTTGTCTGAGTTCAAAAATTAAGCCCAAAAAATACTTCGAAAGGATAACAGAGCCTTATGAAGTATTTCGGTTACTTTCACCAACCAAAATAATGGCAGCTTACAGGTAATTTCTTCATGCTTACAGATAAACTCTTAGGCTTAGCGTGAGTGACATGTGGCATGGAAGCAAAACCAATATGAGTTTAGCACTAAGAGAAAATTTAGGCTTTCTTTGAGGGAAAAGGAAGCGTTAGGTAAGAAATGAGAAATTTCGTGGGAGATTTGGCTAAGAAAGAGGAAATAGAAAACAGAGTTTTTCCGGCAGCTTGACAGATGCTCTGTCTGCCATAAGAGAAGAATGAAGAAGAAAGGTGAATAGTGCACGAGGTTGCTGGGTTTTTGCAAGTCAAAGAGGAAGCTTGCTCTCTGAATCTAGGTTGGACTTGTTAGGTAGGAGAAGCCTCAATTTATAGCCGCTGGAAACCACATTTTTCAAGAAACCCTAATAACTTCTACCCGTTTTGGCTAAGCTTTTCCCTCATTTCCTATCGCCTCCCTTGGCTTTTCTCATTTGATGAAATCTCTTCTATCTATTTGGCACCATATCAGAGTCAGCTACCTCAATGGCAGACTTCCATTCCCAGCCATTTCTTTTATTGCTTTCTTCTCTTTTTTTCATGGTCAAGTTTGATGGGGAAAAGAGTTGGGATATATATGTTGGTTCGAAGGGTGCTTCTGGCAACTTGTAGGCTAATATTTCTTGGTTCCTTGAGTGTTTCTTGTTTGGAACTTGTTCCCTCCATGTGCTGGAACCTCCCAGCACCTCTTGTTCAATGAACCTGCCAAACTTCTATATGTGGCTTCTATTTTTTCAGCAAAGGGCTGAGGCTTTTGTGGCTTATTTTGGAGTTTTTTATATGGGTCAAGGTGGTTTTTTAAGCAAATGGGCTATTTTTGTTAAATATTGGGCTTTTAGGTTGTGTTAATAGGCTATTTTGCTTGAGCTATTGGGCTACTTTTCTTTCTTGTGCTCAGCCACATGTTTGGGTCTAAGAAATGGGCTTGAGTCTCGAGGCTCCCAAGCAACCCAAGACCTTCCATTTCTCGGCCCATCAATAGGCCTCATGTTGATTCATTACCGTCCATACCACAACCCACTCAAGCAAGCCCCGTGCATTTGAGTGGCTTGGGCCCACTTTGGCTTATAGCATGGTTGGGTGTGAGATAACAATTTCGTACTTGGCATGGCATGTTACTCGGCATGTTTTAATTTATCGTCCTTGAGAAGGGCTGCGATGTTTAATTTTGGCATGGGCTTGTAGACCTAATATATTTTATCTCAACCCCTAGCGAATTTATTTATTTAGCATGGCACGTGAACTTGTAATTCGCATGTGGTGAGTTTTCATGTACTCTGCTTTACGCTTTTTCTTAATGGACTGTCGTTTTGGGCTGATAATTTATTCAGTCCAAACCATGGATTTTTTGGGTCTCAACACTCACTCGTCCGATTTAGTGGCCGGACGACGGAGAACGAAAGCTTGGAAGTTCTGTCAAAACTGACGCAATCTCTGGCGTTTTCCGGCGAAAACCGACGGTTCCAAGGGCAGGGACTGGTAGGGAAAGGAAGAGGAGGCGGCGGTGGTTCGATTGGGTTCGGTCTCGTCGGCCGGAGTGGGGTGTGGTGGTGGTTATAGAGGAGAGAAGGTGACAGGTTAAAAACAGGGGGGGTTGTGGTTGCAAGGGAGAGTGAGGGAAGAGAGATAGTCAGTTTTTTTATAAAAAAAAATCATGATTTCCAAGATTACCATTGTGCCCCTTGAAGTATTTTGACCGTAATTTCTTCGTTACAACTCCGATTCGAGCCCACTACGCATCAACGGACTTGGTTCATCGCGCTCTACGCAACGGTGCAAGTGGAATGATCAAATTATTTCTCGGTGAAAAAGTCAACTTTTCCTTTACTAGAATATTCTAAGGGCAAAAGTGTCCTTTCCTCTTAATAGTTTAATAGTTAAATATTAATTAAGGTTTCGGTTGTTACAATACTTCTTCCTTGATATGGTTCAACTCCAAAGCATATTTGATCTTCTTTTTTTATTTGCCAAACGAAATGGTGTGACTCACATACCTTGTTTGCCATTTTACTTTCTTAGCAAGTTGGAGGAGTGTGTAAGTCCTCTTCAGATTTGATGAAAAATTTGTTGTAGGAGAGAGTAGCGTTCATTGCTTCATTTACATGTTCCCTAGCAACCAACAAACCATTTGTTACCCTTCTGACATTTGAGAGAGCAACGTAAGAAGCAATTGACATTTTCTTGGTGAATGGGTAGCTAAAGCTTGGCTTAGGGAGAGTTTTGTGTGCTTTGATTTTGAATTCTGCTATGTTTGCCTCCACCCACCCACACTATATCCTTAAATAGAGCAAAATACTCTTGGTCTTAATAGGTAGCTGCCACCTCCACCTCAACCACATAGCTTTATGTTTCTCCTTAAGATGGTCCACTTTTGTAGAAAGTTCATAAGAAGTTAAATGTGGTAAAGGGTCAATGGACAATTAAAGAAGATAGGTACAAAACTTTAATTACAATACATCAATATAGCTACATTTTGGCTAGTTTTATATGATCCTAAGCTTTAAGCGGCAACCTATATTACCTTAGCCTTAAACGGCAGCCTATAGTCCTACTTTTATTTCTATTGTAATGAAAGCCCAGCTAAAGCCAGAAACTGCCCTAAGTACTTAAGCCTTAAGCTGCGGCCTACAGTCTTACTTTTATTTATATTTTTTTTTCTTCTCTTCTCATTCTTTCTCCTCTTACTCGTGGCAATCAGCTGGATTCACACCCACCATCTTTAGTTTCATTTTCCATACTTCTTCCTTGATATGGTTCAACTCCAAAGCATCTTTGATCTTTTTTTTATATATATATTTGTCAAACGAAATGGTGTGACTCACAGACCATGTCTTCCATTTTACTTTTTTGGCAAGTTGAAGGAGTGTGTAGGAGAAGTCCTCTTCAGATTTGATGAAAAATTTGTTATAGGAGAGAGTAGCGTTCATTGCTACATTTACATGTTCCTCAGCAACCAACAAACCATTTGTTACCTTTATGAAATTTGAGAGAGCAACGTAAGAAACAATTGGCATTTTCTTGGTGAATGGGTAGCTAAAGCTTGGCTTAAGGGAGAGTTTTGTGTGCTTTGATTTTGAATTGTGCTATGTTTGCCTCCACCCACCCATACTCTATCCTTAAATAAAGCAAATACTCTTGATCTTAATGGGTAGCTGCCACCTCCACCTCAACCACATGGCTTTATGTTTCTCCTTAAGATGGTCCACTTTTGTACAAAGGTCATAAGAAGTTAAATATGATAAAGGGCCAATAGACAATTAAAGAAGATAGGTACAAAATTTTAATTGCAATACATCAATATGACTATATTTTAGCTAGTTTTATATGATCCTAAGCTTTAAACGGTGGCTTACAGTACCTAAGTCTTAAGCGGTGGCCTATAGTTCTACTTTTATTTCTATTATAATGGGAGCCCAACTAAAGCCAGAAACTGCCCTAAGTACGTAAGCTTTAAGCGGCCTATAGTCCTACTTTTAATTCTATTTTTTTTCTTTCCTTCTCCTTCTTCCTCCTCTTACTCGTGGTAATCAGCTGGATTCACAACCACCATCTTCAGTTTCAGTTTCCATACTTCTTCCTTGATATGGTTTAACTCCAAAACATAAATAAGTTGGAGGAGTGTGTAGAAGAAGTCATCTTCATATTTGATGAAAAATTTGTTGTAAGAGAGAGTAGCGTTCATTGCTTCATTTACATATTCCTCAACAACCAACAAACCATTTGTTACCTTTCTGAAATTTGATGTCACATCCCGGGATCGGCTCTGCTGTAGCACGATATTGTCTGCTTCGGGCCTCCCTCTCTGCCCTCACAGTTTTGTTTCTGGGAACTCACGAGTTTCCCAATGGGTTACCCATCCTGAGATTGCTCTAGCCCCAACTTACTTAACTTCGGAGTTCTCATGACTCCGAAGCCAGTGAGCTCCCAAAATGCCTCGTGCTAAATGGAGACTAGCATGTACATATAAGACACATCACTTCCTCTCTGTTAGTCGATGTGGGATGTTACATTTGAGAGAGCAACGTAAGAAGCAATTGACATTTTCTTGGTGAATAGGTTAGGTAGGGCTTGGCTTGGGAGAGGGTTTTGCTTGATTTGATTTTGAATTGTGCTATGTTTGCCTCCACCCACCCATACTCTCTCCTTAAATAGAGCAAAATGCTCTTGGTCTTAATAGGTAGCTACCACCTCCACCTCAACCACATGACTTTATGTTTCTCCTTAAGATGGTCCACTTTTGTACAAAGGTCATAAGAAGTTAAATGTGGTAAAGGGCCAATGGACAATTAAAGAAGATATGTATAAAACTTTAATTACAATACATCAATATGGCTACATTTTGGCTAGTTTTATATAATCCTAAGCTTTAAGGGGCGGCCTACAATACCTAAGCCTTAAGCGGCGACCTACAGTCATACTTTTATTTATATTATAATTGATGAAACGACCTGACCCAAAAACTGGCCGGAAGTGGCCGAAACAATGACCCGAAAATCGACTGAAACCTAACTCGTAAATCGAGCTATCTACGCTAGAAATTTCTGAAATCCTACCCAACCAGCAGCTAGAGCATGAAAAATAGCTAGAAAACCATACCTCACTCGTCCGATTTGGTGGCCGGACGACGGAGAACGAACGCTTGGAAGTTCTGTCAAAAACTGATCAGCATCGCCTGTTTCGTGGCTGTTTCCGGTGACTATGGCGGCGGATCGAGGCGGGGATGGGCTGAGACTGAAAGAGGGGAGTGAGGTGGTTCGTTTGGCACCGGTCTTGCTCGAATTGGTGCTCGGAGCTGAGAGAAACCCTCTCCTAAAGTCGGCTGGTCGAACTGGAGGAGGAGAAGAAAACTAGGTTTATAAAAACTGAAGATTGAAATATTTACGGTTAAGCCACTGAACTACTTTTGATCGTAACTCCTTCGTTACAACTCCGATTTTAGTCCACTACGTGTCTACGGACTCATTTTGCCGTGCTCTACGCAACGGTACAACTGAAATCCCCAAATTCCTTCCCAGTCAAAAAGTTAACTTTTAAACTAATAAAATATTCTAGGGCTATAAGTGTCTTTTACAAGAATAAATTAATAATTAAATATTAATTAAGGACCGGGTTGTTACAATCTACCCCCCTTACAAAAATTTCGTCCTCGAAATTTACTTACCCACCACCCGAAAAGGTGAGGGTATTAAGCCTGCATCTGTTACTCGGATTCCCAAGTCTACTCCTTTAAAACTGCACTCACCACTTGCATCTTAATAACTGTATTTATAGGCAATCAATAAAATCTGAAGGCCACACATTTATATTTGAATACCTGAGGTGACTTAAGAAAATATATAAAAACTCTCTGAAATCTCTGGTAATAACTGAATTCTGTTAAATCTGGAACTTTGCTGCTATTACTCTGATATTTAACTAAAAATCCCCTTCTTCCTTTGAGTGTCTGACACCTGGCCAATGCTGGCCACAAAAGACTAATTTGCCCTTTTTAATTGAAATTCAAGTGTGACTTCTACTGAAAATTCGCCAGAATCTCCCCTGTAAACTGAACATTTCCCAAAAGCATTCTATCTGTAAAACAAGTATGTATATTTATTTAACTCATCTGCCAGCATGCATTAAATCATATCCAAGCAATCAAACATCATAATATTTTGGCATCAGGCCACAACAATTCAAATAATTCGATCTACTAATGAAATTCATGTCAACTTTTAGATTAGCAATGATACTTTGACAATCTCAAACATCATGACTCATGCATTCTTACTTATGCACGACTTATCAAATAGTAATTCTGCTGAAAAACACTGAATGTATAACTCATCATGTTCTGTAATCCTAGCTGGACTCAGGAGACATATGGTCAACCTGATCCGCAATTCTGGCTCCCACGGTCTGAATAATTGTAAAACTCGTGGGGCAAAATATGTTGGAAATACTGGAACTGCTTACTATCGTGTTCAATAATAAAATTTCAGGTCAACAATTTAAATAAACTGAAATAAAATAACTGAAAGCAGACTGGATTAAAATAAAATGAAATAAACAAACTCTGAATAGATCTAATAAATTTAAAACTCTGCTGCCATTAATCTGCTATTTAGCTAGAATTTCCTTTTCCTATATCCATAAAGGATATCCCACTCGACAGCATAATTTAAACGAAGAATTAAAAACATTTATATCAAGTAATCATGCTTACAAAACCATAACTATCAATTCCTCGTGACACCAAAGGTGACACGTCATGACTTGAAATCCTCACTCCCATGGTCTGGATAACTCTAAGACTCATGTGGCAAAATATGCTAGAAATACTTGAGCTGCTTAATACCATATTTAATAATAAAAAGATGAATATCAGCAACTTAAATAAAATAAAATAAGGTAAATTAAAGCAAACTTAATTAAAACAAAATAGGCAAGCTCTTGTATTGAACTCATTAAAAATTCGTAAGTAACCATGTGTATATATATATATATATATTTTCATATAGTACTTGTGATGCTGAAAGAAAATAATGATAACTGTATAAAATCCTTAATTTAGTTTAAAAGCATCTCAAACTGAAATCCTCTCCACCTAGGTGCACCCCCATATTTGATCCGTCAATTCCTGATATCCGTCAATTCCTCTCGCATCACCATTGGTGACACGTCCTCGCAGGTCTCGGTGACACAAAGTCAATCCGAGCTGCAACCTCGCAGGATTCAGGGGACCTTGGTCAACCTGATCCGCGTCCTGGCAGGTCTCAGGGGGCCAGCCTGAGCCGCAATCCTGGCAGGTCTTAGGGGGCCATTAGTCAGCCTGAGCCGCTATCCTAGCACCACACGGTTCGAGCGTCCCCGAAACTCGTGGGGCAATATCATAACAACTGGAAACTGGCACCACACGGTTCAGGCGTCCCCGAAACTTGTGGGGCAAAATAGCCAACTGTCTCAAGGTAACTGGGGGTACCCTGTGGTGGGTTTGAAAACCATACTCTGTTATTTGCATAAACTTTCAACAAACTGATTTTCCACTGAACATAAAATATATCCATATATATATATACACACACCAAAATTTGATGAAAACCAAAAATTAAAATTCTTCCTTTTCAACCCCTGAATATATGCAACAACTACTTAGCTAGTTGGTTAACCACCTTACTCTCTGCTGAGTATATCATTCCAATAATAAACTTATACCCTTACAACACAATTAATCATATGAACAAATATAAATAGGTGATGAATAAACCGATAATTAAATACTGATCTTGCTAAACCTCAGTTCTCGACATATAAGCATATAATAACATGTATAACAAGTTTTTCAAATGAAAACTTCAACAAATTTTTTCAAACTCTTTTGGATACCTGTTTACTTAGTCACACCAACAAGATAAAATAACATAAGAAAAGTCCAGCAATTCCTCAAAATAAGGATGCACAAGTAATGCAAAGTCTACAGGAAGTTAACCTAATGCTCTGATACCAATTGAAACGACTTGACCCAAAAACGGGCCGGAAGTGGCCGAAATAGTGACCCGAAAATTGGCTGAAACCTAACTCGTAAATCGAGCTATCTACGCTAGAAATTTCTGAAATCCTACCCAACCAGCAGCTAGAGCATGAAAAATAGCTAGAAAACCATACCTCACTCGTCTGATTTGGTGGCCGGACGACGGAGAACGAACGCTTAGAAGTTCTGTCGAAAACTGACCAGCACCGCCTGTTTAGTGGCTGTTTCCGGTGACTATGGCGGCGGATCAAAGCGGGGATGGGCTGAGACTGAAAGAGGGGAGTGAGGTGGTTCGTTTGGCACCGGTCTTGCTCGAATTGGTGCTCGGAGTTGAGAGAAACCCTCTCCTAAAGTCGGCTGTTCGAACTGGAGGAGGAGAAGAAAACTGGGTTTATAAAAACTGAATATTGAAATATTTACGGTTAAGCCACTGAACTTCTTTTGATCGTAACTCCTTCGTTACAACTCCGATTTTAGTTCACTACGTGTCTACGGACTCATTTTGCCACGCTCTACGCAACGGTACAACTGAAATCCCCAAATTCCTTCTCAGTCAAAAAGTCAACTTTTAAACTAATAGAATATTCTAGGGGTATAAGTGTCTTTTACAAGAATAAATTAATAATTAAATATTAATTAATGACCGGGTTGTTACAATTGAAGCCTAGCTAGAGCCAGAAATTGCCCTAAGTACTTAAGCCTTAAGCTGCGGCCTGCAGTCGTACTTTTATTTCTATCTTTTTCTTTTCTTCTCCTTATTCCTTCTTTTTCTCGTGGTAATCAGCTGGATTCACAACCACTATCTTCAGTTTCATTTTCCATACTTCTTCCTTGATATGGTTCAACTCCAGAGTGTTGGAATTTTAAAAAGATTTAAAATTTTAACCTTTTTTTATTTAAAAGGAAATTTGCATAAATACCACCTAAACTTTTAATTTTTACTATTAACCACCTAAACTTTATAGAGTGTTGCAATGTACCGCCTACGTCTAACTTTGTTAAACTTTCTGTTAAGTTTAAGGGCATTTCGGTCAATTTCTTATAACTATAAAATTGCCATTTGTTAAAACGAACATAATCATGTTATAAAATAAATAATAATTATAAAAAAAAAGGAAAAAAAAAACCTAACCTCACTATCCCACGACTTCCCCCACCCCTTCCAACGCCAACTATGCCGCACTGCCTAATGGCCCCATACCCCACCCTCTGCAACGTCTTAATACACCCTAATTCATCTCTCTCTCTCTCTCTCTCTCTCTCTCTCTCTCTCTCTCTCTCTCTCTCTCTCTCTCTCTCTCTCCATTGAAGAAGAAGAATATTTAATATATGATCGTCTACAATATTTATTTATGAAACAACATCTCTTACTCCTATAGCCATATGGCAAATACACTCAATTCTTGTCGAAGGTTACCATATGCCAAACAATATATTTGTCTTTTGATCACTCAATCCTTCAACAACCTACCCCAAAAGCTTTTTGATTCGGGGGAGGGAGGGAGATATATAAAGTAGGGTGTATGCAGAGGGTGGGGGAGGGAGCTACTCGATAGTGGTGGATAATTGGTGTTGGAAGATGCATAAATAAAATATATATTTATCATTCTATTACTTTCAGAAATTTTAAGGTTTTTAGTTATAGAAAATTTACAAAAATACCCTTAAATTTAAAGGAAAGTTTAACAGAGTTAGCACTAGGTGGTACATTGCAACACTATGTAAAGTTTAGGTGGTTAATAATAAAAATTAAAAGTTTAGGTGGTAATTTTGCATATGCCTAAAAGTTCAGGTGACATTTATGCAAATTTCCCTCATTTAAAACTTTAGGCTATTTAATTTTATTTATTGTGAGAGTTATAAATATTTAATTTTCATATTTAATTTTTATATTGAATGCCTTAATTTTCTAATTTAATGTGGTGAAGGTTACATGTTATTGGATGCCTATAAAAAGCCGCTTCTCCTTCACATTTGTACAACTACAGTACACCATTAGAATATCACATACTACAATCACCACCACAAACTAATTCTCTCTTTTGTATAAGGGGTCGTATCTTGGAGTCTTGTAGACCGTCAGTACCTGCACGTAGAGAGGCCACAAAGGCTTTAGGACAGCGTCTTTGACATGCTTCACTGTACCAAACTCACCTTCTTATTTATTATTTATTTTGCTTTTACTTACCTAGTAATTTCTTTTTCTTCAATTTCATTGTACCTTAAAAGTTTTTCAATTTGTTTATATGTTATTTATAATATAAATATTTTGTATTTGGCTTTATGGAAAAGGAAAACTATAATTTTTATAACAATCTAAAGCCTTTGTATGTTCTTTCCATACTGTTGTAGTTCTTTGTAGTTTACAATTGTTCCAATTGTATATCTATAATTACATAAGCTCTGCACGACAATATGTTTGTTCCTGAACATCCAGTGGCATGTCTGTTCTTAGTATATGTTCCATATGTATGTGTCAAATCAAAAGTTTTGACATGCATGTATTTGCTTTTGTACATAGAGAAAGTGTTATTATTTGAAAGGTTTTTAAAATTTAATGTTTTAATTTTGTTTTAATATTTTGGATGTTTTCTTTTATTTATTATGGGAGTTACAATTGTTTATATTTTCTATTTTTATTTTCTATTCATTGCCTTAATTTTCTGGTTTTAATGTGTCCGGAGGTTTTCAGTGTTGGATGCCCATAAAAGGCCACTCCACCTTCAAAGCTACCGCTTTATTCTTTATTGTTTCTTTACGTTGGCTGTCCATTTATTTCTTAATAAAGCTTGTAAAGATAATATTAAAATAAGAGGCATGTGCACCGAGGCTCTCTGTTGGAATTGGTAAGTAGCTTTAGTATTCTTTATTCCTTTCCTCCAATGAGATAGTGACACATGCTGGATCAACCCAAGCTCCCATGTCAAGGCTCAGTTTCTCCATTGATGTAGCTAATGAAAGTTGGTTGGCAGCATGCTTTACTCTTTTTGAACATGATTCAATATAGGATAGTCTGAGAAGGCAACACTTATCCAAATGCTCCCATATTTGGAGATGTTATACTAGACATCAGGGGAAACAACTCTCATGAAGAAGTCAAATTCATTTGAGAGGGGCAAGCAAGTCGAATTGCTCTCTCGGACACACTGATTGTCATGAGCGACATCCCTTTGAGCAGGCTTGATTGTTTAGCACTATGAGAATGATACACTGATCGGATTGCTCCCATATTTGGATAAGTTGTTGTACACATTTGGAGGAATAATTACCATGAAGAAGTCAACTTCATTTGACTAGTGGAAAGGCCCTATCAAACAAAATTTATCGGATTGACCATCACTGGATTTCCCCTGAACCATCTTCAATGTTTATTATCCGTTTGAAGATGTTATACTTATCCCATTGCTCTCAAATTTGGCCACGATGTAGTAGGCATCTGTAGGAACATCTTTTATGAAGAAAGAAAACTCCATTGGACACTTTAAATCCTTGTCGAACACAATATATCTGACTGCAGCTGATTGATACTGAAATGCCTCTTGCATATGTTGTAGTATTTGTTCATTGGAGGATGCAATACTTGTTCAATTGCTTCCAAATGTAAATACGTGATAGTAGACACTCAAGTGAACAACTTTCAAGGAGAAAGAAACTTCAATTGAGCAATGGAAATTCCCTGTCGGGCACAATTCATATGACTTCAGTTATGCTTAGCCATGGTTTTGGCTATATTCTTGTTCAAAGAGCAATATCTCCTATTCTAAGACAAAAATTCTATTTTTGGTCAAAACAGTACCATATATGGATTGATAGGTGGAATCCAATAGTCCAAATTCGATAATCATATTTGAATTTGGATTGAGGTATATCCAATTCGAATATGATCCGTTTACAAGCCTAATTAAGGTTTGCTTTACAAATAAACGTGTTTTGAATATATGAATTCTTTGAATTGATATTTATTTATATTTACTAAAATAAAGAAAATATGTCAATTAAAAAATAAAATAAACAAGAATGTATTTATCTTGCTTATTTTATAAAAACATCTCCAACCGATATGTGAAAAATAACATATCAACCCACTATAATTTCCCTTTTTTAAAACTTTATGCGTCATATGAGCCCCATTTGCTTAAAAATATAATAAAATAATATGATATTTGACATTTCGGATGAAGTTAAATTTGGTCTAAAGTATCAAATTGCCACATAAGCCATCAAATTCAAATTTAACATTTTGCATTTGACATCTCCTTTGGAGATACTCTAAATTTCATAATTTATCTTTCTTTTTCACGTATGTAGTTGTTAGTTAACTGTATATATCATTTTATGATAAGCAATCGAGCACATTATTTTTTTGTTGAAATGGAGCACATTATTTTATGGTAAGTAATTGAGCACATTTATTTCTAACCTGAAAAAATCCAGTACATTTTATCTACGAGCTTGGTTATGACCATTTGTTGAAAAATAAGACGAAGAAAAAAATTGTCTTTCTTTGAGAACCTCATAGTCTCATAGACATAAAAATTCAATTTTCTCGAGCCGTACGTGGAGAAAACTTCTAGGCAAAGAAAAAAAGTTAAATGAAAGGGCTATCTGGTAATTTAAACGAAGTGAAAGTTTCGCACGCAAATATCTCTGTACGTGCTTGCCTAAAGCAAAATACATTTCTCAGCGAGGGTTTACAGAATTGCTCTTTCTCTCTCTCTCTCTCTCGCTCTTTTTCTGTGTATGAAGCTGACGAGCTCTCACCAGCTTTGCCGTCGAATTCCGGGCCGGATCTTCGATTAGGTAACCCGTTGCGTTTCAAGCTGCACCTTTCCCTTTTGTGTTATATCGTCGTCCACATTTTTACTGTTTTCGAACTCAAACGTCAAAACGCTAAGAAATCGAATTCAGATACTTTCTGGAAATATCAATTTTTGTTTTTGAAGGCCAACATTTACTTCCTGTATACAATTTGCGATGGTTTTGGTTCACGCGTTATCTGTATTTTACTCATTTCGAGCTCCGAATTTCATACAACAAGGGCCAAGGTAGTGTTTTGGTCAAAATTTGGGGTTTCTTGTGTGCGTGTGTGTTAAAGTTGACTTGGGTTTTTTTTGTTTAAATTGAATTTCAAAATTGGCTTAAATTGATAGTATTATTACTGTATTCAATTTTAGAAACTAGTTAGGAAGATATCAGTGATCTAATTGATCAATATCTCAAATAGGAAGTATTTGTAGCCGCCATTTGATGTTTTTAAGAATTTTTTACTTGGCATAAAATAATATGCACTTATTTCACCACTGCATTCAATGCTTCTCTCTCATATTAGTTGATGGGGAGAGGACTTATTTTCTTGGAAGACAATCTAATGCATGAGTGTAGATGTTGATAAGCAGGTCTATTGGCTAGGCTTGTCTTAGTGGTTATTTATTTATTTATTTATTTATTACAATCAGGAGCTCAAAGCTATTGGTTACTACTGTACATCAAAATTGCAATCCTCAACCATATATGTGAATGGTGTTTCTGATTTCAATCTTGAATCAGAAAATTCATTCATTGACTTTGATAGCTATGTTTTACTGCTCTTTGATTTCACTAATTGCATGATTAGTTCAAATGAGATGGCATCTTCGCATAATGTCGAGTTGGAGGCAGCAAAGTTTCTCCACAAGCTCATTCAAGATTCTAAAGATGAGCCTGCCAAACTTGCCACAAAGCTTTATGTGGTTAGTATAGTTTTCTCTCGACAAATTTTCCTTTTATCTCTTCGTGCCCGCTGTTTACTTCTATTTGTCATGACATCAACGTACATGTATTTATTTACATTGTTTTTGAGAAATGCAGATATTACAACACATGAAGTCAAGTGGGAAGGAACATTCCATGCCATATCAAGTGATATCAAGGTAAAGATTAATCATTTTTCACTCTATTTGATGGTATTTTGTTAATAGTGGACTTATTTCATGATAATAAGAAATATATGAAAAATTGCATGAGTTATATAGACCCGTGAATACCAATGAGTTGTTAGTTCAGTGGTTGGGAATCTGGTTGGGGCCCTGGCATGTGGTCAGGGGTTCGACTCTCATCAATGTACCTATCTAGCAATTTGCCAGTGTTTCCTGCCCCCAAAGATTGTAGGGTTCGGGGGCGGGCCCCAGTTTGGAAGCTGAGTCAGCAACGTTGACAAAGTGGAGTTCTGGGTTTAAAATGAAATAAAATATAGACCCGTAAATGAATTTAAAAACTGTGCTAGCATTGTTATCATTTTACATGGGGTTGGTGAATTTAGTAAATCCGCATGACAATGAACTTGTAATCTACGAGCTTGCAACTTCCAAGGACATGAATTTTATGTACTTTATTAATCTGGAGGATGAGGCTGCATTTTAATTTATTCAGGTATTCACATCACACGGTGAGGGTAGTTGAATTGTATCCAATAATATTGGTTAGGCCATTAAGTAATTTACTTGTTTTCAGTAGAAAATAATATTATTTTAAGATAAACTGCTTTGGTATAGAAGATTCTTTTACATGAAACTATTTTTTCTGGGTGAGTTGTTCTTAACCTGTTGTCTTAATTCATATCTGATACTCGTGTTTGTCTTGGTTTTTCTTTTTGTTTTAGTATATCAATTATTGCTGAGGAGAAACGCAACTTATACCTGAAATGCCTGCATTATCTTACTTGAATTGTCAATTGTGTCTTTTTTCCCCATCATAGCTTATCATTTTCTCTAACTTATCTTCCTTCATCCACTAAGGGCCATGGAGACTGTTATTAATCAACATGGTCTTGATATTGAAGCTTTGAAGTCATCACGCCTTCCTTTGTCTGGTGGAGCTCAAACAGGTAATTATTTTCATTTTAATTAAACCAATTCTGCCAATCATACTTTTTTGTCATGTTGAGATAACTGTGCAGCCATTTTTCTGCAGGGTCTTCTCAGGCTGTTGGAGTTTCAAAAGATTCCAAAACAGGTTTGGCCGAAAATGAGATGTCTAATATGGACCCGTTTTCTACAAGCAGACCACCTGTTGGCCCTAGCAGTACAGGGCATGATTATTATCAAGGATCTACTACTCATCGGAGTAGTCAGTCTTTTGATCATGAAAGTCCATCTAGCTTGGACTCTAGGTCTGCCAATTCACAGTCACAAGAAAGGCGTGATACAGCAAACTGGGACAAACAGGTGAATCGAAAGGATGGTAAAAAAGCCACCACTAAGAGGAAGAGGGGAGATACATCCATACCTACAGAACCACATCTTGATAACCCCCAACATCTTGATACTCGAAATGCTATAGTTAATACGAGGAAGGGAAAGATAAACAAGGTTGAACCATCGGCTGGTTTCCCAATTAAAGGTGGTGAAAATGCTAATTTTAATATTGCTCCAAGTAGTGGTCAAATGGAACATTTTACATCTTTCTCTGGAAGCATGAGACCACTGCTTAGAGCCAAGCAAGAAGGTCAAAATTTGATAGAAAAGCAGTTGGATTTGACAAACACTAGCAATTCGATGTCTCGGGCCCTGAATGCAAAACACCCTGAAGAAATGGAAGTTTCTTCTACTCATAATGCTTTAGCACAGCAGCAAGCTGCTCCTGTACCTCTTACACATGACACTATGGGTGTGTGGAATCAAAGTAAAGCTGGGTTTCCATTTGATAAGTCTCAAGTTCCCAGGTTTTCTTCTAATGTTGTTGTCCCAAGTAATATGACAGCAGAAATTCAAATGCAGCAGTCAACATCTCCATCACCTGGATCAAGTAAGAATTTGGAAAACATTGTTTTTAAAGTTGCAGAATTAACTTGTTGGAAAGCGATGCACCTGAATTTTTGTGCTGGAAAAATTAAAGATGTTTCATATCAATCAGGATCAAAATTGGTATAGAAAAATTTGGACCTTGAACCATGTCCTTAAACAATCTCCTGACCTCCAGATTAGTTGATTTTGAAATCAACTTTGGTTGAATTAAAACCATGAATTATCTTTGTTCTTGATATTTTCTCCTTTGTTCATTTATTTACAAACGAAGAAACTATTCAAGTTATCGATCAAAAAGAAACTATTCAAGTTGGGGTTAATCTTATTAAGGAGGCCGAACCTCCTCTAATATCTCCTGGGTCATTGAGTAATTAAGGCTCACATTATATTGTTGGAAATTCAGGTTCTTTTGGCAAGATTCAAGGAGGCGTTCCAGTTACATCTAGTTCATATCAAGTGGCAGAACCAGGATTCTCAAGTCCAATGCAATACAGTGGGACGATGCCTTCAACTGGAAAGGTCTCTGAGCATGATGGAGGAAATACTAATATATTAGCCGATGCAAATAAGATATTTCAGGTACTCAATTTCCCCCCTTCTGTTCGCTACTTTTAGGCAAAATGAGGGCATTGTGCTCAATTGTGTCCATGCTGAACTTCAGTGATTTGTAGTGTTCTCACATGATATATGAGGATGAAGGTGAAATAAAAGAGAACATAGCTACTACAATATGCTTACCATATGTATTTCTTCTTTCAAATGTTAGGGCAAACATGCAGTTCTGAGAATATGTGTATGCTGCATGTGTTCTGTGTGACTTCGATCCTTTTGTTTTATCATTTTGCCCATCTTCTTAACTGATGTTGTCTAGCTGTGATTTGATACGTGTAGATTATTTTTAAATTTGTTCTTGCACATGAAACCGTTTGCAACTCTACTGTTTGAAAGCTTGTGTATGTAATTTGCTTATGCTACATTTGTTCATAGGCTGGAAGGCAAAATAGTGCATTAGAAATGAGTATGCTGAGAAGTGCAGCTGTGAGAGATACTGGTAAAACTCCAGTCCACCTGGCTCCTGGCTCTCCTGGCATGCCTTTCAAGGAACAGCAGTTGAAACAGCTCAGAGCACAGTGCCTTGTCTTTTTAGCATTTAGGTAGTTTGTTTTATTTTCGTTCTGAGGCTATTCTTTTTGGTATCTGGTTCAAATCTTTGTCTTGGTTGGGTTAAATTGTGGTTTTCTGCATGCAGAAATGGTTTTGATGCCAAAGAAACTTCATCTTGAAATTGCACTGGGAAATGTTTTTCCCAAAGAAGGTAACTATTTTCAATTTTATTTAAAATCAAAGTCCTCAATTTTTACTAACTTGCCAAGTTGCAGCAACTTTTATATTACTGCCCTTGATGTATGAAATTATAAAATCTTAGGTGGCAGTACGGAAGGGCCTCGAACAGAGTTCATTGACCATAAAGGAAAAACACAATTTTCAAATGAGCCAAACAGCATTTCTGATTCCACTACACCATATGGAAGACTTAACAATGAGAGGGAAACTGATAAAATGCTTCCCGGTGCCTCGTCCACCGAAAATTCCTGGAGACCGACTCTTTGTCAAAAGAAACTGAGAACCAAAGATGGAAGAAAAGAATGGCCCACCTCCGGATCTCTTTGTTCTCGCTGAAGAAAGAAAGCATCTTCTTGCTTCACAAAAACCAGAATCTGAGACACAGACCTGGAGGCCACAGCCTCACCAGCATGTTTAACCATGACATCACAGCAGCCTGAATCTTCAGGTGCAAGGAGTGGTTTACCTGTTAGTAATCCTGTGGAAAATATGGAAAATGGACATTTGCAAGTTGGAAGGGCTAACCAAACTTCTTCCCTAATGGGTATGAATAAGCAGAATTCCGAGATAATCAGCTGGACTGGAGTTGGCAATCAGAATGAAGTTTCCAGGGGGCTGTTACCAGCCTCTGCTGGTCAGCCAGAGTTGGTGTCTGAAAGAAACAATAATGCACCTGGTCAGTTCCCAAATCTTGGTAGCAGCAGTGCTCTGGGTAGTCAACATACTGATAATCACCCGACTTCTTTTTCATTCGGTGATCGTTGGAAACCAATTTCTGGAATTGGCAATGATCATCACTCAGCAAGTGCATCAAAGGACACTCACATGATGCCAAAACATGTTTCTCATGGTGAGAATAGTATAACCAATCTATGTCCAGAGTTTTTTTCTTTTGCATTGATCTTGCTACTTCTGTTAATTGTGGGGGTAGGTGATTCATAGGTATCTGAATTTCAAAATGAATGCTTTTTAGTTGTATAAAATCAGTTCCTCTTATTGACACTGAAAATGACATTTTTTTTTACTACAGGACAAGTAAGGGAAGATAACCATACTGATTTGCCACCTCACCAAAATACACTATGTCAGAGAAGTGGATTATGGCTAAGCAGAAAAAGAAGCTTCTGGTGAACAAAATTGGACTCTAAAACAGCAAAAAGCAAGGCAAAAAATTGCCACATGTTTCCACAAGTTAAAGGTCCGTTAGAAAGATAGTATGTGACTTCAAATATTGTTTATGTCCTTTTATTACCATGACATATTTTCCTTATAATTCCTGCCTGATGATTGGTATGGGTTTAATTTATAGTTATTATTATTATTTTTCTTTTGGGGAAGGGGAGTGGGGGGGCATGGTTGAGTTCTGGAGGTTACTGTAAAACTGAAATTCAGCTTAAATAATCCCCTAACAAAACTTCTGTCAAATACAAAAGGGAACATATGCACATACTTTAAATAGAATTATATTTAAAACTGATACAACTGTGTTAGAAGTTTTAGGGGAAGGATTGGATTTAGAATTCAAGGACTAATGTCTCTAACTTAATGTTTTCTTATGGAAAATTTCTCTGGAGTGATAGCAATCATAATAAATTTCAAGTATGTGTACTGTGAAAGAATGTTGCGATCCAGAAAAGTTAAACATGATGGATGTATAAAATTTGTATCTTGTTTCTTTGTGAGAGTGGCATTAAGGAGGTATTGGTGAAGGAACGCAATGCTGCTCTATGATGACTTGATCATGGGGGCTTTGGATAACATAAAATTCTCTCTCCTGGAATGATGGAAGAATGGAAATCTGGGTGTCAGTTTACCTCTTTAGTAAGATTGGCACCTCATAGCTTGATGTGAGGATCACGAATTAAAAGATGAATAAAAACGTTAATATACCTATCTGCTGCTGTGGAAGTTGTGTGTTGCTCTGTGATCTTAGTTGCGTTTGGATAGCGCTGAACAGAGTCGCACAAGAAAAGTTTTTGGGCACATAATAATGTTCACATCACTGAAGGGATATTTATATGATTTGCTTGTTATTTTTCATGTGCTTTTATTATTCATAACGTGTATCTCACTGTTCAAACAATACATCAGTTACGAAAAGGAAATTATGTACTTGTCTTGTTTGCCTTGAAGATGTTGGAGTTGATAAATGATTTCCATATCATGATTTTGCCTAGTTGTTATGTGGTTGGAGCTTCAACCTGGGTTTGTCATGTCTAACCAGTTACTGATATGCGACCATACCTGTGCCTTTTGCCTGACTGTTTTTGTTGACTCTTGCTTCTTTACAATGTATATGCGTTGTTTAATAGATTTGATGGTTCTATTCTATGTGCATGAATTTGTGTTCCCTTGTATATATATGAAGACTATTTCTTTGCAGAAAGATAAAGTGAACCAGATGCATGGTTTGATGGGTTCATTTTGGTCCTGTATTGATATTTATGCTCCTCATGTACTGCATTTACTACTTGTAGGAAAATGTGAGCTCATCTGAAGATATATCTGCAAAAACCAAAAGTGTTATAGAACTGAAAAAACTACAACTCTTCGAGCTGCAACGCCGTCTCCGGAGGTAATTGTTCATCCTCTATGGGCTTCCATGTGGAAACCAATTACTCCCTCTGTCCATTATGGAATTGCCTTCTTTACAGAAAAAATGAATTTTAAGGGCCACTTTTATGCTTTCCTACCGAATTAGTTAAATGAGGGTTGGGGTGTGTGTTGTTCTGTGGTTTTAGGTGTTGTTCCTCCCTGTTAGTTTGGGAGGGGTTGGTGTTGGTTGTTTCTTTCTGTTTTGTCTTTGTTCTTCGGTTGTGGTTGCCTTATCCTCCTCCATGTTCTTTTGCTTAATAAATTTCGTTTCTTCTCAAAAAATATGGAACTATTTTAATGCTTCCGTATAAAATTTTAAGTAACTATTTTAATGCTTTCCTACCTACTTCTCATGTGTTATATTCAATTATTAATCTTACTTTTAAATTTAAAAATCCAAAGTACTTGCATAAAATGTAATTAAGGAGATGACAAAGGTTATTGTGGAAAAAGGGGAAATAAATTATTTGAATTTTGGATTGGATTCTTAAAAGGGAAGTGTAGACCATTTATTCAGGACAGAGGGAGTATATATTATCTCTGTTTCTCAGTCTAAATGGTACAAATCTTTTCTCTATATTTTGTTTTATTTTCTAGACACTTAATCCTTGTTTTGTTTCATTTGGGCAGTGAATTTTTGAATGATTTCTTCAAACCAATCAATACTGAAATGGATCACTTGAGAAACTGCAAGAAATTTAGACATGGTAGGAGGATAAAACAACTTGAAAAGTTTGAGCAAAAGATGAAGGAAGAGCGACAAAAGAGAATTCGGGAGAGGCAAAAGGAGTTCTTTGGTGAAATAGAGGTTCACAAGTACGTACTCTCTTTTTGTCCATTGTGTGTCAATACCCTTAGCTTTCTATGTTTTTGAGGAGCTATAGTAATCATTACTTCCATTTCTCCTATTTCATTTGGTTTGTTGTGCATGCTTTTCTGACTTGCTTTCCAATCTGGACTTAAGGGAAAGGCTGGATGATGTGTTTAAAATTAAAAGAGAGCGGTGGAAGGTTTTCAATAAATATGCAAAGGAGTTCCACAAAAGGAAGGAACGCATCCATCGTGAGAAGATTGATCGGATTCAACGTGAAAAGATAAATTTATTGAAGATCAATGATGTGGAGGGATATCTGCGAATGGTGCAGGTATGTTCTAAATTTTACTGACTTTAGGATTGCATCTTATTTTTATTCTTTTTGCATAACATTTTTGAAACTCATGATAGGATGCCAAATCTGACCGTGTTAAGCAACTTCTCAAAGAGACGGAAAAATATCTTCAAAAGCTCGGATCCAAGCTACGAGATGCAAAGGCCGTGGCAAGTCAGTTTGAGCATGATATGGATGAAAGTGGAAGTGGAGGTGCAATTGGGAAGAGTGAGCCTAGTTTTGAAAATGAAGATGAAAGTGACCAGGCAAAGGCAAGTTTGTTCTCTGTACACTACAGTTTTTTTTGAAGTTCCCGCTCATTGTGTTATTTTATCACTGTTTTGCAGCATTACATGGAAAGCAATGAGAAGTACTATTTGATGGCTCATAGGTATGTATATGGCTTCTTTATCATGGATTTATTGTTGATGTCACCTTGTTTGCTGCTTTATAATAGAATTCCTCACTTTGTAACATTTATTTAGTGGTGGTTGAACTCAGCTAACCTCTGGTTCCTTTTTCGCTCTTTAAGAGATTTCCTTTCTTAACGTAGAAGTTGGACCATCTATTTTTTTAAAATTTCAATAAATATGAAAGTCTGACTGTCTTGACGCTGTCAATTTGACAAATTATTTTCCCGTATTAGTACTGATTACAGCTCTAACTAAGTATCTTACAATCAACTTTGGTTTTTGCAGTATAAAAGAGAATATCGCTGAGCAGCCATCTATTCTTAATGGTGGAAAATTGAGAGAGTGAGTAGAATGTGATCTGATAGATATATATTATCTTATGTTGGGGGAAGGATAAAGGGTTGATCTTCTCTTTCTCAACTTTAAAAGCAATTTTTTTTTGGGGGGGGTGAGAGGTTGTGGGGGTGGGGGGTTGTTATATCCATTTGAATTGATCGAGGGAGGTGTTTTTATTAACACCTGATGTGTGATTTTTCTAAAAATGGTATTTTTGACGTTCAGGTATCAAATGAATGGCTTAAGGTGGTTGGTGTCTCTATACAACAATCATTTGAATGGTATCCTTGCTGATGAAATGGGTTTGGGTAAAACTGTTCAGGTAGGGATTGATTATGAGTCCTTCCTAAACCATTCACAGTTTGTTTCCAGTTTACACGTCCATAATCTAAAACATGTTTGTTTTAGGTTATTTCTTAATTTGTTACCTGATGGAAACAAAAAATGATCGAGGACCTTTCCTAGTGGTTGTGCCATCTTCAGTGTTACCCGGATGGGAATCAGAAATTAACTTTTGGGCCCCTAGTATTCTTGGGATCGTCTATGCTGGCCCCCCTGAGGAGAGACGTAGGCTATTCAAGTAATCGCATTAAAACCAAACTGCTATACTTCCTTATGTATTTTATTTATATTTATACAGAAGCTCAGAAAGTACTTTACATTGCAGGGAAAGAATAGTTCAACGGAAATTTAATGTCCTCCTTACTACATACGAGTATCTGATGAATAAGCATGACAGACCTAAACTAAGCAAAATACACTGGCATTATATAATAATCGATGAAGGCCATCGGATAAAGATGCTTCCTGCAAGTTAAATGCTGAATTGAAGCATTATCAAAGCTCTCACAGATTGCTGTTAACTGGAACTCCACTGCAGGTTTCAGGATCTCTTTTCATGTGCTTTTCTTTTATTTATTGTTTGCACTCATTTTCTGTGGTTTAATAAATGTGTATTGTCTTTCCTTTGTATTAATGCAGTATCCTGATTACTTTCTATTCTTGTGTTTTGATTAGAATAATCTCGAGGAGTTGTGGGCGCTACTAAATTTCTTGTTGCCTAATATTTTAATTCATCAGAAGATTTTTCTCAATGGTTCAACAAACCATTTGAAAGTAGTGGTGATAGCACAGCTGACCAAGTAAGCTTTGGAATGTTTTATTTGAGAATTGACGTTTTAAAAAACTATTGTGACTCCGGTTGCATTAAAATCTGACAGTCGTGTATGTATTGTTGGCATATATTGACAAGGCCTTACTCTCTGAGGAGGAGAATCTATTGATCATTAACCGTCTTCACCAAGTTCTTCGACCATTTGTCCTTCGGAGGCTGAAGCATAAGGTTTTTAAAATTTGTTTTCTGCTTATCAATAACATTTGCATTTGGAATGTGTTTTTTTTTATTGGATTTATTTTTGTTTGTGTGGATTTGAAATCTGGTTTCTTATATGCATGTAATGTGTTTATATATGAATGTGTACGCATACAGGCATGCATGTCTATGGTTTTCTGGAATTCTTTCTTGTGTATCCATTTATGTATTCTGGTCAAGGAAATTGTTTTGTCGCCATAAAACTTTTAAGAAATGACTTGGATACTAACATTGTGTCTTATCCATGCTAATCCCATACATGTCAGTTGATCAACAAAATCCTGGTTAACTTCATTATTTCTGTATGGAAGGCATGTGTAGACTTGGTAGTTTGATTATGATATGCATGCTGCATGATTGATTTGAGGTTAACTTCCAATAAGACTTGACTTCTGAATATTTTCTTTAGGTGCTTAGTGATCTGGCTTTTGTATTTGATTTGTTATGGAGTGTGTTACATTGAGAAATTTGATATAAAATGTATTGCTTCTGGGCCCTTGGTAATATTTTATTGAAGTTTCTGTTCTCTCTTTTCTTTTTGAGAAGAAACGAAATTTATTAAGCAAAAGAACACAGAGGTGGATAAGGCAACCACAACCGAAGAACAAAACACAAAACAGAAAGAAACAAACAGCACCAACAACTCCCAAACTAACAGGGAGGAACAAAACCGAAAAACCACAAAACAACACACCCCCCAACCCTCATTTAACCGCAGCTGCCATATCCCTCATAATTGTGGAATAAGAGTAGTCTTTAAAATCTTTTGCAACAGAAGCCCAAAAAGCTGCCCAGTACTTTCCCGAAGATCACACACTCTCACTCCCTTATAGTCTTCAAAGATTCTCCTATTACGCTCCATCCAAATGTTCCAGAAAACAGAGTGAACCAAACAGCCCCATAAGCTTGAAGCACGCTTCCCCGATCCCCAAACCTCAGAGTCAAAACAAGGAAAATCAGAGCACCCTTTCGGAATCACCCAAACAGTCCCAACCTCCCTCCACAAGAGCCACCAAAGACTCAAGGAAAAAAGGACAATGTAAGATAAGGTGGTCCACACTCTCCTCACAAAGCTTACATAACACACACCAGTGAGAAGACAGGTACATAAAGGGTCTTTTCCTTTGGACAAGATCCGAAGTGTTAACTTTCCCAACCGCCACCAACCAAACAAAGACTTTGACCTTAGGGGGAGACTTGGCCTTCCACACAAGAGAGAAAGGAGGAAAGGTCTCTGCCCTCCCCTTGTTTCGCAAAAAGGATTGAAAGGACTTGCATGTGAAAGATCCCGAATCCTCTAGATCCCACCTTCTCCTATCCCTTTTAGAAGCACACAATCTGATACCTTTCAGAGTTTCGAGCAACTTGATCACCTCGGCAGTCTCCCTTTCAGTTTCTGTTCTATCTTTAAAAAGGCATTCAATTGTAAATGTTGAGTTTTGGAAGTTTCTATGTTAATGTTCCTGCATTTTAAATTTTTTTTTTTGGCAGGTTGAAAATCAACTACCCGAAAAGATTGAGAGACTGGTAAGATGTGAGGCTTCTGCTTATCAGAAGCTTTTGATGAAGAGGGTAGAAGATAATTTGGGTACAATTGGAAATTCCAAGGTATTTTTAATTCTCCTTTCAATTTAGGAAGGTGAACTGTTAAGAGTATCTTATTATAATTTACACTGTTTTTTTTCAGGCCCGGTCAGTGCACAACTCTGTTATGGAGCTTCGAAATATATGTAATCATCCATATCTCAGCCAGCTTCATGCAGAGGAGGCATGTTCTTTACCTGTTCATTTTAAGTTTTTATTTGCTCATATAAAAGATGCTGAAAGGGTTAAGGAAGCAATTTTCATTATTACCTTGTGTTCTCAAGATAAACTTCTTTGTCTGATTGCTTCTTGTAGGTTGATACCTATATACCAAAGCATTATCTGCCACCAATTATAAGGCTTTGTGGGAAGCTTGAGATGTTAGATCGATTACTTCCCAAGCTAAAAGCAACAGATCATAGGGTACGGAAGGCATTTTACCTGTGTCTGGCTACATGATTTTTTGTTTAACTCTCTTTTTATAAATATTCCAGTTGTTGGACTTGATATCAGAGTGCAACTGATTGGAACTTGTCACTGTGCAGGTTCTTTTCTTTTCCACAATGACTAGGCTACTTGATGTTATGGAGGAATATCTCAACGGTAAACAATATCGGTACCTCAGATTGGATGGACATACATCAGGGGGTGATCGTGGTACCCTTATTGACAGCTTCAATAAACCGGATTCTCCCTTTTTTATATTTCTTCTGAGGTGATTCTTTTTGTGCGTATTGTACTTTTATGTCTGCTTTTACTGGGTTAGGTGGTTCAATAGGTTATGGGAACTTCGGGTTAGAGGGAGAGCCTGCAGGGGCTGTGCTATGATTTAGGTGTAGGTTAAACCTTACATGTGAAGTTGGAAGCAACAAAAGGTGTGCTTTGTAGTGTCAAAAGCACTTTCCGATAAAAGGTGGTTTTTATTATTGAGTTTTTGTCTGAAATGGACAAAAGTGTTTTTGGTGGTGAGAGGAACCCTTTTAGTGCTTCATGGAGAAGGACTGCAAGGTGAATATGGAGGATGCATTTCATGTTTGATGATTTTTCTTATGTGCCTCCAACATATGCGCTTTATACAAAAGCTCTACCAAATAGGCTGTAAGAATCCTACACTAATTTAGTAAAATCTCACTTGGGTTCTAGAGTTAGGCCACCATATATTGGGTTGTTTCGTGCTTGACACTGATGTAGGTTGTTACTAGCAAGTAGTAAATAAAAAGTATAGAAGTTCTGTTGTGCTGATATGTGTCTGCTGGCATGATTGTGTGCACACGAGTATAAATGGTACTGACATATGTATGATTTTGATAGCATTCGGGCTGGTGGTGTTGGAGTAAATCTTCAAGCTGCAGATACAGTGATAATATTTGACACTGACTGGAATCCACAGGCAATTTTCAAAATTACTGTTCAATGATTTATATTTGAATTTAAACCAGATAGTTTCAATTCTATAGTTTATTTATTTTTTCATTTGTAAATTTTCAGGTTGATTTGCAAGCTCAAGCAAGGGCTCACAGAATTGGCCAGAAGAGGGATGTGCTTGTTCTTCGATTTGAAACAGTATGCAATTTCTCCCCTGGGCTATGTTTCAATTTGAAACTGCTCTTTTTCTTCTCTATTTATGTTTTGAAATTAAATTATCTACACTTTAGGAGTCTGGATGTCTAAGTGCTTGAATTGTTTCTTTTGTATAAGGTTCAAACTGTTGAGGAACAAGTCAGAGCTGCAGCTGAGCACAAACTGGGAGTTGCGAATCAGAGCATTACTGCTGGTTTCTTTGACAACAATACAAGGTTAATTTGAATTGTTGCTGAGCTAAACTCTGTTGCATACTCTTCTAAAGAAGTTGCTAATTGTTCTTGAAAATTGTTTTACCACAGTGCTGAAGATCGAAGAGAATATTTGGAGTCCCTTTTGCGTGAGTGTAAGAAAGAAGAAGCTGCACCTGTATTAGATGATGATGCTTTAAATGATCTCTTAGCTCGCAGGTACATACAGTCTGATGATTTTTGTTGTTTATATTTTGCTCTTGACATGACTGGTCGTCTGAATGAGATTTCCTGTTTCAGCATCAATTTTATAGGGAATAGCATTTCCATCCATAGGTTTCTTGAATAGATGGAGCACTCTGTAGACTATGGTACCTTGCCGTTTTGCTTTGGCTTTCATGACATTTACTGTTTTCATAAGCAATGATGAGTTTGCTGTCATATTTTTTCCCTCGTGTTAAAATTATCTACAAACTCAGAAAGGCTGGGAATTTCGCAATCAGAAGTCATTAGTATGTTGGATTTGGTTAATGATTAATATGCAAAGCCATTTTTCGCTTGCTGGATTTTGTGTGTCATTATTATTTGATTTGATTTGATTTTTTTTTGCTTGCTGATTAATGATTAACGAAGGAAATATTTTTTTTATGCGAAGTTTTTTTGCTCGATTTTTTTATTTGAAGTTGATTTATTAATGATTGCCTCTCTTCCTGCAGTGAGCCAGAAATTGATGTATTTGAAACTATTGACAAAAGAAGACGAGAAGAAGAGATGGTATTCACTTAACATTTGCACTCAATGCTGTCTCTTTGGTTTTACTTTGCATAAATATCCTTGTATATCTTGCATGCTACCTGTTCCTCTGATGCTGCAGCTTTATTAAAAAAATTAATTTTGTAGGCAACATGGAGGAAATTAGCATGTGTTCAAGGCATGGATAGTTCTGAAACTCTGCCTCCTTTGCCTTCTCGCCTCGTTACAGACGATGACTTGAAGGAGTTCTGTGAAGTAATGAAGGTATATGAGGTGCCAAAGACTGGTGAAGTGTCTAATGTTGGGATAAAGCGGAAGGGTGGGGCTCTTGGGGGCCTCGATACTCAACGTTATGGCAGGGGAAAACGGGCAAGAGAGGTTTGTTTTTCATATTTGATTCTTATTGCTTGATTGTATCCTTTATGTTCTTGTGTTTCTTTGACCACAAAGGTGCCAATTGAATGTGAATCTGTTTCTTTCAATGCTTTTTAGGTGCGTTCATATGAAGAACAATGGACAGAAGAGGAATTTGAAAAGTTGTGTCAGGCTGACTCACCTGATTCCCCCACAAAATCAAAGGAAGAATTTATGGAGTCAAACTTGCCAAAAGATGAGAGTGGGTCTGTGGTGGCTGTTTGTAAAACAGAACTTCCTGCTCCACTTCCACCACACTTACCATTACCCTCTGTGGAGCTGCCCCAGATACAGCAAAGTAAAGAGGTTACACCACCAGCTAAACGAGGCCGTGGAAGGCCAAAAAGAGCAACACTGGATCAATCACCAACTGCGATGGCTCTTACAGCACCTTCTGGAACTGTCAAAGTGGATACTGGGATACAGAGAGGAATGGTGTCGAGCCCTGTAACAAATTCAGGCCCTGATTCATCACCTAGTTCTGTTAATGTACAGGGTATTGGTGGAATTGTACAACCTAATAGTATCGTGGCCTCACCTAGCTCTCAGCCAACTGCTCCTAAACCTTCTGTTACTCCTGGTTCTCAAACTACCATTGTTAGCCCGTCTGCATCAACACAAGCATCAACACAAGTAAGAGGACAAGGTCGGAAAAGTCAAAGTGGATTAGAAGCACCCAGGCGTAGGGGAAAGAAACAGGTGCCACAATCACCTGGTGTTTCTGGTGGATTAGCTGGTTCTGATCCAAAACAAAATGAAGTATCACAGAACACATCTGTGAACCCATTAGAAAATCAAGCCATTGTCATGAGCGAAACTGTTTCTTGTACTTCTGCAGTCCAACATCCTGATTCTTTACCTGGTTCTGTTCCTTTACAAGGTGCCAATGGGACTGATCATCAAGTTGGTGGTGCGATGGCTTTGACTTCTCAGCCAACCCTTCCGTCCCCATCTGTTGCTCCTTCCTCTCAATCTTCTCCTTTCCCTTCTGTACCTGTGCAAACAAAAGGGCAAAACCGGAAGGCTCAAAGTGGTGCAGGAACACAGCGGCGTAGGGGAAAGAAACAGGCGCCAGTATCACCTGCTGTTCCTGATGTGTTAGATGCTCAGGATATAAAACTAAATCTGCAACCACAGGATAAACCTGGAGATTTATCTGTGAGCAAAGACAGTGCTGTGAGAAGTAAGCAAGAGGCTGATGGTTTACCTGGTCAGAATCTGAACTCAACTGAAGAATCAGTAAATTTAGCTGAAGCCAAGCAGACAACAAGCTCATCAATGACACACGAGACTGCCCTCAGAACCCTGGGTAAATACTGTGCATGCATGTTTAGGAAGAATTTTTCACAACTGAAATCATGATAAATTTCCTTACATAAACTGAGACATTTTAATATTGTGCAGGCCCTGCGACAGGGGAAAGCCTAAATGTTATTGCAAGCAATGCTACTGTGACAAAAGAGGCTTTGGCTGAAAGTTGCTCATCCAAACCTAAGAATGACAAGGTTTCAGGGAATGAAGGTGCTGCCATACCAGCTGAGGTGAATAAGAGCCAGAGTTTGGAGGATAAAGCTTGTCCAGCTATTGCAACTTCCATAACTGCGGCTCCAGCTCATACTCCTTTAACTGATTCCTTTCCCAGTTCCACTGCTGTGGAAAACACCAGTGAGACAAAATATGACGTTGCTAAGATTGCTCCTGGCTCTCAGTCAACGCCTTCGTACCATTCTGTTCCTCTGGCATCTCAATCTATCACTCCTTGCCCTTCCGAATCAGTAGAAGTCAAACGACAAGGTCGAAAGACTTCAAACAGAGCAGAAGCACCCCGTCGTAGGGGAAGGAAGCAAGCTCCGGTGTTACCTGCCGTTTCTGATGGTCCAGCCGGTCAGGATCCAAAATTAAATTCTCAATTACAGAATGCATCTGCTGTTACAATGGGAAGTAAGTCTGTTGCTCCGAGAAGTAAGCAAGGTACTGATGGACAGGAACTGACAAATGCTATTCAGGCCCAAACAAGCCAAGTGCATTTGGCTAGCAGTTTAGTGGGTCATGATCCAAAAAGAAAAGAGCAGTCAGGCTATTCTGCCCACAATAGGCAACCTACAAACTCATCATCGGCACTTGACAGTGCTCCTGGATCTTCTGATAAGAGTTCTGCTTTGGGCCGTATCCAGACTGCTGATGTAAATGATGTTGCTCGTGTGATGAAGGAGGTCTTTTCTGGAACCTGTTTGTCAAAAGCTAAAATTCCTGAAACTTTCGGGAGAGAAGGTAGGGTTGCCCCCTGTGTACCTTTATCAAGTAAGATTCCTGTGGACACAGCCAAAAGCCAATGTTCGGAGGATAAATCATGTCCTACTCTGCCAACTTTGGAAACAGCAGCTCATCCACTTGACCTTACTGGGACTGATGCAAAAGGGGAGAGGGACATGACACCTGCTTTGAATGAAACCCATGTTACCGTCACTAATATGGACCAACCTCAAAGCAAGACGACTGTGGGCTCCATCAAAGAATTGAAAGGTTCAAAACAACTTTCTGTTGATGGCACGGCTAGGGTGAGTAAGACTGTTTTTCAAACACTGTCTCCAGATGTTGATGTGACTGCTTCTAGTACAGGGGCCTGTGGGAGTGAGGTAAGTTCATCTTTGGTATTTTCAAGTAGTGTTGAGCATCCTCAGGTGATTGGTGGAAACAAAACTGAATCTTTGTCAGGAGAGTCTCCTAAATCCCCTTCTGTTGATTTAAGTGACAATAAATGTCCTACGATTTCCATGAATACTGACAATGCCAGTCTTCATCTTGGATTGACACCTCCTGTTCCTGAGGGCCCAGTTGAGTCAGGTGTGATGGGCCCTCCTGCTATGATTGATTCTGAAAACAAGATAGAGCCTTGTGATAAAGAGCATCCTACATCTCCTCCTTGTATTGCGGCCAGCCTTGACTGCCCTCCCCTAATTCCCAAAGATTCTGATGATGTTAGCAATCATTCTAAAGACACTTCACCCATTTCTGCAAGTCCAGATCGTTCAGCTGTCGCACCTGATATTACTGAAATGACTGAAACAAATGCCGTAGACGAAACAGAGCCTTCTTCAAAAGAGTCTCGAGAATCTTCCCCCCATGAAAATGTATCCACAACATTTGAAAACGTTTGTGGCCCTCCCCTAATTCCCAAAGATTCTGATGATGTTAGCAATCATTCTAAAGACACTTCACCCATTTCTGCAAGTCCAGACCGTTCAGCTGTCACACCTGATATTACTGAAATGACTGAAACAAATGCCGTAGACAAAACAGAGCCTTCTTCAAAAGAGTCTCGAGAATCTTCCCCTCATGATAATGTATCCACAACATTTGAAAACGTTTGTCCAGGAGAGAGTGCACCCATGTCTGTTGGTTTAGAGGATTCGGAGCTTCCTGGCATGGCTGAGAATGACTCTGGAGAAATGGTTGAGTCTGCTTCAAAAGGTTGTCCAAAATCTTCTCCTGTTGATATAAGCCATGAAATTTCCACAACTATTACCACAATCCCAAATATTGTGTTTGGTGGGGGTTGTATTGACAAGGTTGATGTGCCTTTTACAGAATCTGAAGCTGCTAATTGTTCTGGTGAAGGTAATTTTTCGAATCCTGAAATTTCCTCGAAGGCTGATGATTTCGAAGTCACTCTTGGGTCAGCTGATGTTGCCTCGGGGCATAATACTATGCATGATATTCCTACTGAAAAGGGCATCTTGGAACTTCGAACTGATGTGATTGAGGATGGTAGTATTGATGTGTGCAATATGGAAGTTGTCCCCTCTGAGGGTGATCAAATGAATGTTTCTCATGTTGGTTGTTATCCATCTGAAAAAGTATCAGACACGAGTTTACCTGCATCTTCATTGTTAACGGTGGGAGAAATCGATGACTCATCTGATAGAGGTCAAGTTGACAGCTGTGTAGCACAGGAGAACCCAAAAAGTTCTGGTGCAGCATTGGTTGTTTCTCAGGATGATGGTTTCGTTTCAGGAGATAGATCAGAAATCTTAGAGTCATCTTCTTTGGTGGAAGAGGAACCAGTAGGGGGCGCATCTGTGAAGTGCCAAAATTCCAGTTCGTCATCTTCAGAGGAAAGGAAAGATTCTGTTACTGAAAAGGATGTTATTTTGTCAGAGGAACTTATACCAAAAAACTTGGATGTTCCTTTACCTTTAATTACACAGGAAGAAAATATTGAGGGTTCATCTGAGGAGAGGCCAAGTTGCAGCTCGTTACTACTGGAAGATTCAAAAGGTCCTGGAGCTTTAACAGTTGTTCAAATTGATTTATCTCAGGTTTGTGAAACTTTGCAAGAGAATGTTGTATCAGAAGGTATGGATCCACCTTCATCTTCCTTAGTGACTGGAGAAGGGACGACTGAGGAAATATCTAAGAAGAATCAAGTTTGCAGATCTGTACCTGTGGAGGAACCAGAAGTTTCTGGAGCTGAAAGAGATGCTCAAATTGATTCGTCTCAGGTTGATGGCATTTTACCGCAAATGGTTGTGACAGACAACTTAGGTTCTCCTCTATCTTCTTTAGTGACAGAGGAAGGAAAGATTGGGGACTCATTGGAAAAGTGTCTACTTGGCAGTCCAGTACAAATGAAAGAAGACAAGATTGATGGAATATCTATGAAACGTTTAGGTGGGAATTCAGACCTACTGGGAGAATCACAAGGATCTGATGCTGAAATGGATGTTCAAATGGATGTTTCTCAGGCTTGTGGGTTTCTAACAGAAACTGAAAGTGTTATTGTGCCTTCATCTTCTGCAGCAGTTAAGGAAGGAAAGATTGAGTGCTCATCTGAGAGGGGTCCAGTTAACAGATCAATAGTTCTGGGGGAAACATCTGAAGATTTAGTTACTGATAATATGGTTGTTTCTCGGGTTGGTGTGTTTGTGCCCAAAAATATGTTAGAAGCTGCAGTTCAACCTTTATCTACTTTGGCAAAAGAGCAGCAAAAGACTGAGTGCTCTTCTGAGAAGGATCAAGATGGCCGCTCAGTACAACTGGATGAACCAAATGGAAAGGAAGATGAAATGGATCATCAAATGGAAACGCCCAGATATTCTGGGGATTTGCCCGACTGTATTGTATCAGAAAGTGTGGATTCGGAAGAGAAGATTCAGGGCTTATCCGAGAGGGATCCTGTAAGCAGCTTAGCACCACAGGTGGAATCAAAGGTTTCTGAACCTGAGATGGGTGATCATTTGGATGCATCTAAGGTTGGTTGAACTCAATGGGAATTAAGTTAAACATTCATTTATTGTTATTATTATTTTTTGAATTGATAGAGTTTTGTACCTTGATTTTGGTAGCCAGTTGGCTTGTTAGTTTATAAGTTACTAGAGTAAACTCTCCCCCCCTCTGCCCTAGAAAAAAAAACTCCTTAATTTATCTCAGAACTCCAACTGTACAGAATTGTAAACCGTAATGTCTTGATAGGTACAGGATAATGATTACACGATTACTTATGACAAGTAAGTGAATGTCAATGCCCACAGACAATCACAAGGTTGATCTATTGTTATTACTTAGATTATTAATGTGTAATTTCGTATTTGTATTACTCAGGTTGGCGTTATGTTGCTGGAAGAAGCTATTTCAGAAAACGTTGACCTGCCTGCATCTTCCATAGAGACTGAAGGAAAAGAGGTAGTATGTCCATCTGAGGGAAAAGTTGGCTGCTCAGTGATGGAGGAGGGTTCAAAAACACCTGTAGCTGAAATCGTTCCTCAAGTGAATGCTTCTGATGTTTGTGAGAGTGTGCAAGAAATTGAATCAGAAAACATGGATCTGCCTCTGGTTACCTCAACCATAGTGGGTGATAATGTTGAAGGCTCATCTGATGCAGTGCCTATAGGCAGCTCCAAATCACCAGAGGGGTTGGAGTCTGAAGCTAAAATTGTTGATGGTTTTCAGGTTTGTGGGACATTGCAAGGAAATGTTTCTGAAAACTTGGATCAGCTTCCAGTTACCTTGGCCATAGGGGACGATAATGTGGAAGGCTTATCTGAGGCAGGGCCTATAGACAACTCCAATTCACTAGAAGAGTCAAAATCTGAAGCTAAAATTGTTGATGCTTCTCTGGTTTGTGGGACATTGCCAGGAAATGTGTCTGAAAACTTGGATCAGCTTCCAGTTACTTTGGCCATAGAGGGGAATAGTGTTGAAGGCTTATCTGACGCACGGCCTATAGACAGCTCCAAATCACTAGAAGAGTCAAAATCTGAAGCTAAAATTGTTGATGCTTCTGAGGTTTGTGGGACGTTGCCAGTAGATGTGTCTGAAAACTTGGATCAGCTTCCAGTTACCTTGGCCATAAGGGGTGATAGTGTTGAAGGCTTATCTGAGGCAGGGCCTATGGACAGCTCCAAATCACTAGAAGAGTCAAAATGTGAAGCTAAAGTTGGTGATGCATCTCAGGTTTCTGGGACAATGCAAGAAAATGTGTCTGAAAACCTGGATCAGTCTGAAGCTCCCTTGACCATGGGGGGTGATAGTGTCGAAGCATTACCTGAGGCTGGGCCTGCGGGCAGCTCCAAATCACCAGAGAAGTCAAAATGTGAAGCTAAAGTTGGTGATGCTTCCCAGGTTTGTGGGTCAATTCCAGAAACTGCATTTAGAAACCCAGATCCGGCTCTAGTTACCTTGGCCAAGGGGGGTGGTCGCGTTGAAGGTTTATCTGAGGCAGGGCCTGCAGGCAGCTCCAAATTACCAGAGTTAGAATCTGAAACTAAAGTTGTTGATGATTCTCAGGTTTGTGCACCAATGCCAGAAACTGTGCCCGAAGCTAAAGTTGGTGGTGACATTGAAGGTTTATCTGAGGCAGGGCCTGCAGGCAGCTCCAAATTACCAGAGTTAGAATCTGAAACTAAAGTTGTTGATGATTCTCAGGTTTGTGCACCAATGCCAGAAACTGTGCCCGAAGCTAAAGTTGGTGGTGACATTGAAGCTAAAGTTGGTGGTGACATTGAAGGTTTATCTGAGGCAGGGCCTGCAGGCAGTTCCAAATCACCAGAAGAGTTAGAATCTGAAGATAAAGTTGGTGATGCTTCTCGGGGTTGTGTGGCAACACCAGAAAATATTTCTGAAAGCGTGGATCAGTCTCCAGTTATCTTGGCCATGGGGGGTGATAGTATTGAAGCCTTATCTGAGGCTGGGCCTGTAGGCAGCTCCAAGTCACTGGAGGAGTCAGAAACTGAAGCTAAAGCTGGTGGCGCTTCTCAGGTTTGTGGGGCAATGCCAGAAAATGAGTCGGAAAACATGGATTTTGAGCCATCTTCAACAGCACAGGAAGGTGAAACTGTGGAGTCATCATCTTAGAAACCAGGTGGTAGCTCAATGGCACTGCCCGAAGTTGAATGAGTGTCTTGACTGTAGAATTTGTACAGCTTGTTAGACCATAAAAACATATATATTCAGTGAAGTATAGTTTGCCCTTTACAAAGGGGTAATATTTAGTTTCCAATTAGTGTGTAGATAGAGTATTTTATGACTTATTTTGTCGAACTGTCTTCCACAAACTTATCACTGGGATTTAAAATTTTACTGGGCGCTGAATTTAGATGTCAGCAGCTAACTTTTTGTTAACCTGATTATCTCCCTTGTTTAAGAATTTGGAGCCTAAATTTTGTTCGTTGCAATCTGTAAAAGAAGGAATTGAATCTATCTTGTTTGATTTTATTTTACTAGCATTCCGTTTTAGGATCTTGTTTTATTCGTATCTTTCAATTGACAAAAACTCAGTTTTGAATTATAAACAAGAACGCCTTAGGTCCAAATATGAAGGCAAAAGCCCTTAAACCAAAAATCCATATGGAAATTTAAGAGAAACTCACCGTTGATTTCTCACTCCCATCCCCACTAACCTCCAAAACAACTACCCAGTTTCCCATTTTCTTTTCTCCTCTTTCTCAGTATTCCTTCCTCACAAAACAAAGATAAATTAAATTTTGCAATTACTCCTTCTCATTACGGCAGGGATATTGAGATTCTTCAAGGAAGTGGTGGGTGGGGTAGATTTGGACTCACGTCCGGAGTACCTCCATGGTCGGTCGTAAAGGCAAAAAAAATTATATTATTTTTGTTTACGTATACAATTTCCTTTTAACTTATTTTTCTTGGTTACATAAATTTTTTTTCAATCTTATAGGCTTACAATGGTTTGTATGCACAGTTTGTTGTTCTTATACGTATTGGCAGAAGAATAGTATTTAAATTTTATAAATTTTTTCTTTAATAAAATATTTAAATACTAATTATTCACTAAGTAAATAATAATTAAAACATAACTACTAATTAAACTAATTTAAAAAAGAGGAATTGCGATTAACGGTATAGCCGAGCGGATATACTAAGGCTAATACTGTTAAAATATTTTATTTATGAGGTACAGCCGCGCGGCTATACGCTGCTATACTATTCAAAATACGCTATTTATGCAGTATAGCCGAGCGGCAATACTATTTTAAATATTCTAAGTAAATTTAGGTTTTAGCCAAAAAAAATTCACTTTTGGAAAAAGCAAAGCTTTTTCAAAAAAGACATAAAAGCCTCCCAACTTTCAAATCAAAGACATGCAAATGTAAATGATTCCTTAAGAAATCCAAAAATAAATAAGGGCAATTTTGTCCATTTCGGCTTCTTTTACAAAATTTATCTCTCCTTTGTGTTTTTCCAAAGTCTCCGCGCGGCTATACTCTATACTTTTCAAATATTCTATTTATAGTGTATCGCCGTACATCTATACTCTTTAAATATATTTCCATATTGCATCATTTCACTGTAGCAAAGCTGAGCCTTGAGATAAATCAATTAGACAACGTTCTAGTTTTTTTCCCCGTGTGTGCTTAGGGTTGAGGGAACATTTATGCCTTGTATGTGTGCTGCATGTGTATGCATAATGATATAAAGAGGTTTCTTATCTTTTTCGGTGCCCTTTGTCATATTTACTTAAATAAATTTGAATCTTCGAATAGTATAGCCACACAACTATACTCTTTAAATATTTTGTGTTTTAATTATTATTTAGTATTAAAAAAAAAGTTCACAAATAATTTAAAGTAATTAATTACTAATTATTAAGTAATTTATGAAATTAGTAAAATAATAATAATTAAAGAAACTAAAAAAAACTAAGATATTACTTAATTACATATATTCAATTAAAGAGTTGGCCAAAAAACTAAAGTAAAGAAACTAATTTTAAATTTTTTTTAAATTAAAAATAAAATGAGATAACAAACTCTCCCGACGACATTGCGTTGGCACGGACCTATACTGGCAAATATTTGTCGAATTAGACCTCTGCCGACGAAATTAATCTCTGTCAATAAACTTTCATCGGGAAATTTTTTTTTGAAAATAAATATAAACTTAGTATCGTTAGGTCAATAACTATTTTTTAAAATATTTTCTTTTTAGTAATTAAATAATATCTTAGCCTATTTAATTACTTTTATTAGTAATTATATTTTAATTATTATTTATTTAGTGAATAATTAGTATTAAATATTTTAATTAACTTCATAAATTATATTACTTAATAAATAGTATTTTAAATTTTTAAATTTTTTCTTTAATAAAATATTTTAAATAGTAATCTATATACATAAAGGCAGAAGGCCTAAAAGTGAAATCTTCAATAACCCCGAAACTACTGTTGGTGAAGTAAAATATTGAAACACACATATTTTATTTAAAATAGGGTAAAAGAGTAAAACAAAAAGTAAATTAAAATTTAAAAAAATAATAAAAATAGCAATTAAGGATAAGACGTGTTTTAACCCAAAATAAAAAAGGGAGTTTCACTAAAACACCCCAAATGGGGGTTGAAATTATAAAAAAACCCAACACCCAAAACACTTTATAAACACAACCAAAACCCATCATTACACACACTCAAAACCCATTTATAAACACACCCAAAAAATATACAATTGTTGATTTTGGGTGTGTTTCTATGTTTAAATAGTGTTTGGATTTTTTTTTATAAATACATGTCTAGGATTGGGTTTATTTATAAATTTGTAAATAAAAAAATGAATAAGATGTATTGTTTTAAAAACCTCACCTCGTCGTGCAGTTCCTTTCAGTTTACAGTAAGAGAAAACAAGTAAAGGAAAACGTTAGTTGAAAAAATGGATATTAAAAAAACAAGGTAGGAAAAAATATAATTTTTAAAGATAAGATAAAATATTAAACAATATCAAATATTGTTTAATATTGCAACAACCATCTTCAAAATTTGATAATACCGTAATAATTATTGTTTTTTCTTTTAATACAAGTGATCTTTTAATACTGGGCTCTAAAGGGGTTAGACCGTTGGGTTGGCACAACTTATGATGGGTTCAAGCCAACTTAAGGTGTTAAACAGGTTGGGTCGAGTCACTCGATAAGACACTACTAGCATATTTGGGTGGACTTGGATGAGGTAATTCGACCCAATGACCCAGGTTGGTCGGAGGCTCGTCGTGAGCCATGTTAGCTCAAACCTCAAAGCCCAACAAATTGACCCATTTATTAAATTATATTTATTTTAGAGAAAAATATTACATAATATTATTATAGTTATATATTAAATTCATGTTTATTTATTTATCTAATAGTATATTTTAAAATTCAATATTTTCTTTATAAATAAAATGATTATTTTGTTTTTCAAGGTTCAATTTTTTAAACTCGAACCACAATCTAGCCATTTGTTATTTAAATGTACTTAAAATAAAGTGATTGACCACTTTGTTCAAAAAATAATAAAACTTGTTAGTATATGCATGTTTGTAAAAAAGATTGAAATGAAATTGAAAAAAAAAATTACAAAAAATGACAGGACCCATCTCGGAATTCGTGACGAACCCTAATTCCCGCCCGACATCTAACCGATGTCAAACCCACTTTTCTAAAACTGACAGGACCCGCCCCGAATTTCCCGAAACCCGAGACGAACCCTGCGGAGACCCCGGCATCACACCCACGCCGGGTTCACTCCTTAACACTATGTCCTCTTTTACCAGAGAGGATTTAGGGCACGAGACTTTCTGCCAAAATTTCGGCAGAGTCTCCCCTGTAAATTGAACATTCCCCAAAATTTCCACCTGCATAAAACACATTTTATAACCCAACCAGCAGCACGCACAATATAATCTCATGCAATTTACACAAATGGCCTCCAGCCTTCAAATGATTCTAGCAGAACTACTCACACTGCTTTTAAAGTAACTCCATGCATATAACAAATTCCAAATCTATCTATGCACACCTTCACTCACTCAGTCCACCGGACAAACCTCAATTCAACCAAGTTTCGGGACCAACCACGAGGTCCGCATCATACTCGATAAAACCACCTAAGTGGTGTATAGGTCGTGGCTGCACCTAGGCGCTATCCTAGGCTGCCTACGTACCCTACTAAGGGATCAAGCCACACGTAGCTCTTTCCTATCAATCCTGGCTCCTAATATCAAATCAACCATTCCATCCATATAAATTCATACATTCTACGGTTTCATCCATCTCAACACACCAAACACAATCACATAGCTTCACTCATACGTCGGGACGCACCCGGCCACGTACGGGGTCTGTCAACACGCCGGCTAACCCAAAGACGCGTGCGACCTCACACTGGGCCTGGCTACATTCTCACCAGCCATCATACCATCATATCTCCCACTCATACGTCGGGACGTACCCGGCCACGTACGGGGCCTGTCAACACGCCGGCTAACCCAAAGACGCGTGCGACCTCACACTGGGCCTGGCTACATTCTCACCAGCCCTTATACCATCATATCACCCACTCATACGTCGGGACGTACCCGGCCACGTACGGGGTCTGTCAACACGCCGGCTAACCCAAAGACGCGTGCGACCTCACACTGGGCCTGGCTACATTCTCACCAGCCCTTATACCATCATATCACCCACTCATACGTCGGGACGTACCCGGCCACGTACGGGGCCTGTCAACACGCCGGCTAACCCAAAGACGCGTGCGACCTCACACTGGGCCTGGCTACATTCTCACCAGCCCTTATACCATCATATCACCCACTCATACGTCGGGACGTACCCGGCCACGTACGGGGTCTGTCAACACGCCGGCTAACCCAAAGACGCGTGCGACCTCACACTGGGCCTGGCTACATTCTCACCAGCCATCATACCATCATATCTCCCACTCATACGTCGGGACGCACCCGGCCACGTACGGGGTCTGTCAACACGCCGGCTAACCCAAAGACGCGTGCGACCTCACACTATCACTTGGGCCTCAACATAATCACAATATGGGGGGGTACGTGGAGTAGTGCGTATAGCACTGTAAACTAACATTCAATCTCCTTATATATCATTATACATCCACACAACCAATTAAATATATCAAGGAATTTCTAATCATACAATAACATCAACCAATAAAATATTCCATAAACTCCCACATTTAAATTCACCAATTTACATCCTAAACCCACAATATCCATTTAACTCAACAACGCTCAAGACCTATCACTAAGGTCATCCTCACCCTCAGGGAAAGGTAAGACTATCTCGGGAGTCTCACGGTCAACCTAGGGTCAAACGGGCCTGCGGGGCCCACAACCTCCAAATTCCGATCCGATAGTTCCTAGAGGTTCTACAAGCTCTAGGACACATGTCCTGCAAGTTTGGTCCAGATCGGACGGTCGGATCGCTCACGATCACGCGATCGGACGGTTACTAAAACCCTAACCCCAGGGTTGGCATTTCTGGAGTATCCGGGACTCCGTTTTACGATCCGTCGAATCCTACACGATCCTGGTAATACCTAGATCAACATATTATAATATCAGGACCATCCAACGGTCCAAACCCAGCGAACCCGGAAAACACGCGATATGCGATATCCGTTCAGGACTCTAACAATATCCAAATTGAGATCCGAGCACACCTACGCGCTCGTGACAACCTGAGGATCACATTGGGACAAAAATGCCCCTCAGCTACAGTGCCCACGCGCCGCCACACGCGCCGGCAGCGCGTGGGTGTCCAAAGCGATATCGCATCGCCGGAAAAACCACAAATCACGGCTCAAGACTCCTACCCTAGGTAAAACACCTAATTTGGAGTCACTTTTGTTCTTGGACGTACCCCAAAAACTGACCGGAAGTGGCCGGAATCTCATCCCGAAATCCGGCCGAAACTCAATTCGTAAATCGAGTTGCCTACGCTACAAATCGATCAATTCCTACCCAACAGGCAGCTAGAGCTCGGAAAATAGGTGAGAAACCATACCTTGATCGCAAGATTTGGTGGCCGGAATCGCCGGAACGAGCTCCGGAAAATCTGGGTAAAAACCGGCCGTTTTTCTGCACTTTCCGGCGGTATCGCTGCCGGCTGACATCGGAGAATGGGTGGGGTAGGACGGCAAAGTCAGGCCGGTCATTTTGGGACCGGTCTCGACCCGAGTGGTGGCCGGACGAATGAACGGCCGGCCAAAACGTGGCCGGCTGTGGTGGCGGCCGCGAACCAGAGGAGAGAGAGGGACGCGCGGGAGAGAGAGAGTGTCTGAGAGACGGGGGCAATTCCGTCTTTTAACCAAAAATCCCACTTCAAAATATTTACGATTATGCCACTGAGCTTCATTTGATCATATCTCTCTCGTTACAACTCCGATTCGAGCCCACTACATGTCTACGAACTCATCTCGCCGTGCTCTACGCAACGGTACATCCGGAATTCCCAAATTCCTTCCGGGTAAGAAAATGACTAAAATATCCCTATCCCACGGGTAAATTCTTAATTTCGCTCAAATTAATTAAAATAGGGGATAAATTTGGAGTCGGGGTGTTACAAAAACGTTCTTTAGCCCTAATTTAAATTAATAAAGACTTCAATTTCGGTATAATCTCCCTTGTAAATTGAATATCTCCCAATTTATAGTACCTGCAAACGAGCACATTAATAATCCCAACTTTCAGCATGCACAAGGTAAAGGCACACACAACAGTTAATACTATTCAAATGGGCTTCATGCCCTCAACCTAAACTCAAAACAAGCATGCAGAATAGCTAAAGATTAAGTTTACAACCCGAGAAGAAGTAAAGTGGAGAAAGATAAATGAGGAATTCCTACAGTGTGGACAGCGCCGATGCCTCGGTGTGGTGGTCTTGACCTTGGATATCTAGAACATGGGGACACAAAAGAGAAAATGTGAGTGCATTTAATTTATATTCAACATAAATAATCCTCTCCGTTTTAGAAAATAATGCCAAAACACTATCTGACAAAATCCTTTTGCATACGTACATATATATCATCCGATACTTGAAAATAATTTAATTCAATATACTTATATCATGACATATGGTAAGGAAAACCGATTTAATTAATACCTCTCAAATTCTTGGAAAACAATGTAAGCTAGTTTATTTAATCCTTATTGTAAAACTGTAAATTTCAACACCACCCAAGTAACCCGTTAATATAAAATATGATCATCAAAACCCAAAATCCTTTTTCCAGCAACCATACCCTTGCAAAATACAATATGCCAAAAATTTTACACATTCACCACACCAACATTAAGTACCGAGGAAACAATCCAACCTGGGGATTATTTGACTAGACCACGGGATAGCATCACATTACCACGTGATTAAGGTTGAGTAGTCCAACCGGGGGACTATTGCTTCGTAGCACACAAGCCGGCAACACATCACAAATGCTGCTAAAACAAGTCAACAAGTCTTACGAGTGCATACTGCCCTGCCAAGGCCCTATGACACACACCGCCAAGGGTGCCCGATATCCTTCCACACGTCGACAACACATCGCAAGTGTGGGTAACATTTGTATCCAATTATAAGTGTCCAAGGGGAGGTACATGCAATGGTGCAATCCATAATTTCAATTTTGAAAATTGATTCTGAACAAAAAGTGACTAAAATACCCATACCCCCAAGGGCAAAAATGTATTTGCACAACTAAATAATTAAATAAAAACAATTTGTTGGGTCGAGGTGTTACCAAAAAAATACAATGCATAAGTTGAGCTTGGCGTGGGCTCATATTGGATGGAGCAATGAACTCGGGCCAAAATTAATAATTTTCATAAATGAATGAGCCCGCGATTCGGCCCATTTATTAAATGAGATGACTATAAATGGGCCGGCCCAGCACGGCCGTTTACCACCTCTAGCCCAATTCTAGCAGCTCCCATTGATTTTACCCTATTAGGTAATTATGCAAGAGGACATAATTGTAATTTTATTTTGGTCAAAGAAATTGTAATTAAAATTTTGTTTTTATCAACCAAATGCTGTCCTGTAAAACAATATTGGGCAGACCAATCTCAAAATTAATGAAACCAAAATTTCCCTCAATTTGAATGAAATTACAAGACTGTTTACAAATAAACCCAAACGAGTGGCATTAGAGAAATAAGCCGAAGTATCATAGGTCTTCTTCCCCACTTCTGAAAACCCCAGGTCCCTCCAGACTCTCTCAAATCAGCTTTGTGATTTCTCAACCAGTACAAAATAGTAAGCGCTTCTTTTACAAACCCATTCATTTCTTCATTGGTTTTTACATATTTAGCACTTTTTTTGTGTGCTTTCCCCAAGTTGTTGAAGTTTCTTTCTTTAGCTTGAAGAACGATATTTGACTTTGTTTGCTCACTATATTATATTATACTTGTATGGGTCTGTTTTAGCGATTGAAATATATAAATGAATTACAATCATTTTTAAAATTTTTAAAATTTTCTAAAGTTGCATGTTGTGCTTGGATGAAATTAGGGTTCTGCCTCTCCGTTACGACTTTTTACGAGTGTTTTGCTTTCCATCTTGGTCTGTGATGTTAAAGGTTTCTTTGGGTTTGGGTTGCATGTCTTTAAAGGTTTCGTTGTGGGAGCAGTTGATATAATGTGTTTGGTTTACAAAGTGAATGTGGTGGCCATGAGATTGTCTGAGAATTCTTTACATACTGGCTGGAACCAGATGAAAAAAGAGTTTGGTTTATATGCAAATGAAATATGATGTTTAGAACAGAGAATCAGTTTGCAGAGTTCAATATTAATTATTTTCTAAAATAAACTCAACAATTGTAATGGCTTCAGGCCCTCAGGTTAGTTTTGTAAGTTTAGCATGGATCACCCCTTTGTAGTTGGAGGAACTTTTCCATGAGCTTGGCACACTGTGCTGGCCGCACACAATAATTTTTGTTCTAGTTGTGTCTTACAAGTTCTCTCAGTTTGAGAGGTTTTTGAAAATTCTCACGCATTGTGGTGATGTTTATAGTTTATATATATAATTTTCCATATGGTTTCTGGTTTCTTATCAATTATTTTGAATGTGGTTCTGGGATTGCAGAATTTGTTGAATTGTTTTCTGATACGTGAGGAAAATATTTGTATATATTATTTGGTCATTAAGTAGATGTTTTTTTAATAAAAAATCTCCCCCCCTTTATTAAGTTGCACTACATAAGTAGGTGATTTTGCGATCTACAATTAAATTGCCAAAATGCAGTTTGCATTATTTATTTGTAATTTGAATATCAATGTGGTACGTAAAAGTGGAGCTAAATGTCACACACTTTTTAATTTTAATCTTTTAAACTGTGTTTTTTTTTCTCTGTTGATAAGGTTTAAATTGGTCTTAACTCTTAAGGTGATACAAAATTGGCAGGGTTCAACCGTTGTGACTAGTGATTATTGCAGGCGTTGATGGTTGGGAATTTCACTTTGGTTCTTAGTGGCTTTGGATCTAGACTTGGCTTATCTCGATAAGGAAGCATGCTTATACACGACTAAAGCAGTTTGAGCAGCTCAGGTTCTCCAGATTGGTGATGGATTGCAATAAAGAAGAGGCCATTAGGGCCAAGGGAATTGCAGAGAAGAAGATGCAGAGCAAGGATTTTGTGGCGGCTCGTAAAATTGCTATAAAGGCACAACAACTCTATCCTGATCTGGAGAATATATCTCAGATGCTTATGGTTTGTGAAGTGCATTGCTCTGCTGAGCAGAAATTGTTTGGGAATGAGATGGACTGGTATGGTATTCTTCAGATTGATCAAACAGCGAATGAGCTAACAATTAAGAAGCAGTACAGGAAGTTTGCTCTCCAACTTCATCCTGATAAAAACAAGTTTGCTGGTGCAGAAGCTGCTTTTAAGCTGATTGGAGAAGCTCAAAGAGTGCTTCTCGACCGTGACAAACGAAGCATGCATGACCTGAAACGCAAGGCTTCTGTGAGAAAAACGACTGTGCCATATCGACCCCCACAGAAGGCGAGTTGGAATTCAAATGTTGGAGTTCAGAACAACTTCAGAGGCAACTTTTCAAACATTAATCCCCAGAACCAGCAGCAACAGCAGCCCTTTCCACCAGGGTATTCAGATTCCCGCTCAACTTTTTGGACTGTTTGCCCATTTTGTTCAGTTAAGTATCAGTATTATAGAGAAGTTCTTAATAGATCTCTTCGTTGTCAAAGCTGCAATAAGCCCTTCGTTGCATATGACACAAATGTGCCAGGTGCACCACCACCAACTAACTTAAGTCAGCAGGCATTCCCCCAGCAAAAAGATGGTACTAACAAATCTGAAGTGAGATTTCCAGGGAATGCTGGAGCTGATAATTCCAAAGCTGAATCTTTCCGAAAGACAGGTCAAAAGGCAGGTAGCTCTTCTGGTGTTCACTTAGTTAGGGTGACACGTAAAAGAAGGGGAGTAATAGAATCCAGTGAAAGCTCTGACTCTGAAAGCAGCAGTGATTCTGAAGAGGATATGGTCATTGATGATGCTGTTCTTCAGGCTGGACTGAAATCAGGAATTTATGGAGAACAGCAACCACGGAGATCTTCACGCCATAAGCAGCAGGTTTCTTATAAGGAAAATCTAAGCGATGATGACGGCATTCCTCCATCAAAAAGGGAGAAGAGGAGTGGCTCGTCGTGTGCCACTGAAGAGGAGAATGAAGACGCATCTAAAGAGGAGGCCTCTAAAATGAGTAATCAATCTGATTGTGCTACTGGCACTAAAGGAGATGAGGAAAGGGTGAAACAGAAAGAAAGTGCTTGTTTTGAAGAGTGCTTAACAAAAAATGTCGGGGAAACCAAGAAGTTTGAGGCTAAAGAAAGGGTGAAGGTATTTGATTGTGAGAAAAATTCTGAGGCTCATGAGAATTCTCCATTAGATAAAAGCTCCCAGGAGGAACAAGAAGCAGACCCCTTTTTCTCATTTCCTGATAGTGAGTTCAACGACTTTGAGAAGATCCGGAAAGAAGAATGCTTTGAAGTGGGGCAGGTGTGGGCTATTTATGATACTCGAAATGGGATGCCAAGATACTATGCTAGAATCAAGAAAGTTCACCTTCCTGGATTCAAGGTGCAGATAACGTGGCTAGAGCCAGACCCTGAAGATGATAATGAAATGAAATGGGCTGAAGCAGGCTTGCCATTTTCTTGTGGGAAATTCAGACAAGGTCACTCTGAAACCAGGAAAGATCATCTCATGTTCTCTCATACGATGTCTTGGGAGAAGATTAAAAGTTATTACCAGATATATCCAAGAAAGGGGGAGACTTGGGCTATTTTCAAGAACTGGAGTATAAACTGGTACTCTGATCTGGACTCTAATCCTAAGCCTAAGTTTGAATATGAATTTGTTAAAATTTTGTCAGACTATGCTGAGGGTGTTGGAATATGGGTTGCACTCTTGGAGAAGGTGAAAGACACTGTGAGTGTTTTCTGTCAAAGACTAAATGATGGGAAATGTATTTTAAAAGTTCTACCAGGTGAGTTATTGAGGTTCTCCCACAGAGTTCCGTCCTTTATGTTGACCGGTGATGAAGGAGTAGGAGTGCCACAAGGATCGTTTGAGCTTGATCCCGCCTCTTTGCCTTTTGATGAAGAAGTTCCTGTTTCTAAAGATCTTAAAACAGAGGCTAGTACTCATCCTAATGGTTTTTCTATATCTCCAGATACAGTCAATGAAGATAGTAATGCTCCCAAAGTATCATCCTCAGAAGGTATTGAAATTCCAGAAGCTGAATTCTACAACTTTGATGCTGATAAATCCCTGGCCACGTTTCAGATTGGTGAGGTCTGGGCATTATATAGTGATGAGGATGGTTTGCCAAAATACTATGGTCTGGTCAAGAACATTGATTCTCGCCGATTAAAATTGCATATTGCATGGCTTGATTCCAACTCACTGCCAGATAATGTGATTCGGTGGCATGACGAAGAGATGCCCATTTGTTGCGGGAGATTTAGGGTTAAAAGAAGTCCACTCCAGGACTACGATTCTTTCATGTCCTTTTCACATCGGGTAAAAGCACTTCCTGTTAGTAAGAATGAATTTGAAATATTTCCTAGGAGAGGTGAGGTTTGGGCATTGTATAAGAACTGGGCTGCTGATATCTCATGTTCTGACTTGGAAACCTGTGAGTATGACATAGTGGTAGTACATGCGGAAAATGATTTGCAGAGAGAGGTCTTGGTTTTAGAGCGTGTGGATGGTTACAATTCAGTTTTCAAGACTCGAGTGAAAGGAAGATCAGCTGAAATGATGACTATCCCGGAGGTTGAGCTGCTGAGGTTTTCTCACAGCATTCCTTCATTCCAGCTAACAGAAGAGAAAGGTGGCAGCCTGAGAGGCTGCTGGGAACTTGATCCTGCCGCATTGCCCGCTCGTTTCTTCAGTTAGACTTGAGTTGGCAATGTGGACTGGTCTTATGCCTTATAATGCACGTTCCCGGATTCAACCGATGCCTCTCTAGCTTGGGCCGTTTCCTGGAATGCTGGTGTGGAAAATGGAACGATCTGGGAGAAGATTCTTTTGTATTTTAGTGCGACTGAGCCTGCTCAGTTCTGATAAATGGACCAGCCCTCTTTTGTGTGTACTCTGACGAAGGTGCATACGATTCCAGATAATTTTTTGCAGCCCAAGTGTTTTGGTATTTTGGTCTTGGTGTAGAAAGAGGTGGCTCTGCTGGTTTTATGTTGCATATTCAGAATTTCTTGTTTATATAGACCCCTTAATTTTTCATGAACCCTGGCTACCTGGGCTGGACTAAATGACTGATGGTGCTGGAATGTTAACGAACAATGAAAGAACTGAAACTTTTCTTCTGTAACCAGAACCTTAGTTTTTAAATTCCTCTGAAAAATCTCTTCTTCCTAGATACTACTACTGTTCTACTAGCATCTCATGTTTTGATGTTTTACAAAATTAGAATGCCCCAACCAATGCTTTATTTTGTAGGTATTTTTCCAACAACTTTTGTGGGCCTGCCTCATTGCATCCTAGTTTTGCAAGGGCATTCTAGATATTAAAGTCTTCAACAAATGAACACTTCTGGTACCATGTCCAGCTGCCGCCAGAAAGTACGTGAGGCAATTGCATAGCATTTGATTGATTTCGCGTTATAGTTCATGAGTACTTTATTTGCCCCTTCAATCACATTCCATTACACGTGATAAGAGTTCTATATGATGAAACGTAATTGGATGGGGATAGCAAAATATTGGAGATATGTTATATGCAAGTTCTTCGCTGAGGCTTTTTAAAGGTTTTGAGCTTTTAATTTTATTTCTTCATTCAAATTCAGTTTCTTCAGGATTCCATTATAAACGACAGATTTGCACTCATAATTGTTGACAATTTCGTAGTTGATGTCTAAAGCCAACGACTTTCAACTTTCAATTAAGATTTTTGTCTCCTTTTTATTGGGGCTTAACCAAACAATCACATTTTTATTAAATAAATTTTAAACTCTCTAAAGAGACATGGAAGGGCATTTGGTCTAGTGGTATGATTCTCGCTTTGGGTGCGAGAGGTCCCGAGTTCGATTCTCGGAATGCCCCCATGCCCTATATTAACATTTTTGTTTCTTTTAGAACTAATAAATCGATTTTGGTTTTTGATTTGTCGTTTCGTGGTAAAACTAGTAAATGGTAAATGGTAAATGTGTAGAAAAGTAACAAAACAGAAAAGCACATAGTTGAAGAAGTTACCAACTATCAGTTTCGCCGCTAAACTCTCTCCACAAAGTGAAGTGAACAGTGGTGGTGTTGTACTAGTCGCTCATTTTCCCTCCAAAAATCCGACCCTCCATTTACTCGTTACCCCACTATCTTCCCAAACTTCCTTCACCTCCAAATCCCTAAACCCTAAACTCTCTCTCTTTCCTTCCTAATTGAGTATGTTTCTTTACTTACTTCTGTATAATTGCTACTCTAGTTTTCATCGTCGCGACCAATTTTTCTTATTTCTATTTTTTGCCCTTTTGAAATTTCATTGCTTTGTTTTAGGGTTCCTAGTGGATTCTGGTATTCTATTCGATGTGAATTGAAATGGGTTCTCTTTGGGACGAAAACGATGAAATCAAGCCAATGGAAACAAACCCAGTTGTCGATTGTGCCCATACCCAGCCCATTGAAAGTCAGATTTCAAGTCCTCCATCTCCTGGTAATCTTTATATTTATTTTTGTTAGAGTTGTGTCTTTTATGGTAATTTTCTGCGGAATATATAAATAAGGAGCAATTTTTGTTCAACCCTCCAACTTTTGTCTGTGAGCTTTTCATGGACAAGTCCAAATCTGTGACATGTTTGAGCATATCTGTCACATTCGGTGCATGTCATTGTCAGCATTTACATGTGGATGTGCTTTAGTATGATTTTCAAGCATGCCAGGATGTGAATGCCGGTGTCTATTGGTTTAGGATTCCCATTGGGGTAAATTGATTATGAGATAGTTTTCTTTATGATTGACCTCGATTCTAGAATATAAAACTTTATCTTCTTTCTAATGACATATGAAAATTGTTAATGAGCTCACCCTCTTTTTTTAAATAATGAAAATTAGATGAAAAGGCTAAATTTGAGGATGCTCATGAGATAGTGCAAGATACTGTGCCTTTTGATGATACTGTTCTAGTTGAAGATGCATTCGAAACTCAAGTGCTTAATCTTGCTGGCGAAACCCAAGTAATGGATTTTGGTGCTGAAACCCAAGTAATGGATTTCGGTTGTGAAACCCAAGTAATGGATTTCGGTTGTGAAACCCAAGTAATGGATTTCGGTGGTGAAACCCAAGTAATGGATTTCAGTGGCGAAACCCAAGTCGTGGATTTTGGTGGTGAGACCCAAGTATTAGACCAAGTATTAGATGATATAAACTGCGTTGAGAACATGGAAACTCAGTTATTAGAGTTTGAAGATGAAGTTGTCAGTGACACTGACAGTGAAGAGTCGGATACAACTGAAGTTTTTGATGATAACAAGCATCTAACTCATGATGAATCAGTAAGAAGAGGTTCTGGTCAAGTAGTGAATGAGGAGAAGATTTGCTGCACTCCTTTTGAAAATAGTGAAAAGGGATTAACGGAGCAAGCCTATAATTCGATCCATGAGAAACAAAATGCAGGTTTGACCGCTTTAAACGAGTTAAGAATACCAATCTTTTGATTATTATTGTATCATTAAAAAGCTCCATTTGTGGTCTAAAGCTTAACTATGCATGCTTAAATAATCGATGCATTATTCTTTTGCTTTATCTATTATTTCAATGATGCATTTCTGGGAGGGAATGAATTACATCATGGGATGATGGATTGCAAATTAGTGCCTTTTTGTAATTCATTGTATGGGATATCATTCTCTCTTTTTTGGTCGAAATGGGATATCATTCTTTGGTTTTGGCATGCTTGTTCTATTTTTTCATTTATAGGAATTTTTGGAATTCAAATGAACTCTCATTTTCACATTTAAATTCTGCATTCAAATATTATATGCTAATTCTTCAAAGTAAGTTGGGGTTTTATCTTTTAGGGCTCCATGTTTCTACAGAAACACCTGTGGATAAAAGCTCCCCAGAACTGAAACCCGGTATGCACTATCCCACTTCTTTATGGTTAGATAGTGTATTTTTTTCTAATCAGAAATCAGGCAAATTTTTATTGATGTAATGATCTTGCTTGGTTGTGTATAAATAACTCCTTCAAACAGTATGTAATCCATCTCAATTACAAATTTTGCCCAACTTATTTTGGATTAAGATGCTGCCAGTTTGTTTAAGCATATTATTGGTTTCCTTTTCAGTCTATTGTTTCTCCATGCCATTGTGGTTCATTCAGAGCACAGATGTCTGAGCCTAATTTATATCGATAATTTTGAATTGATTTTCTAAAAAGCAAAAATAAAATATAAAGGAAACATGGTCTGCATTTATTTTTCAGTTGCTTATATTGGAATTTCTGGTGGCATGTCTTCTTGCTCCTTTGGAATTGTAGAAGTATTGGAAATTCAGAATTCAGATTATTCAATTCAATAATAATATTATTCTTATAAATAAAAAATTCAATAATATTAATGCAGTCCTAATGAGAACTATTATGTCAATCTGGGTTTTTATTTATTTATCTGTCTTCCCATTTTGGCCAGGATCTGTGCATATGCATTTCACCTCAGTCCGTGCTGCATCCTTGCGGGCCTCTGGTCTAGCAGCTCGCTTGAAGGGCACAAATAGTGAGTCTCCTTCTGTTCCAAGTAATAGTCAGTGTTTGGAGCAACTTTCTGGGAAGGATAATGCAGTATCTCTTTTAAGGGGTTCCACCATAGGTGGGGAGAAAGTCAACCAGGAACATGATATGGAGAGATGTAATGAGAAAATAAGGAGGTCAACAAAAGAGAACAATTGCAGGACTGGTAACTCAACAGCGAGAAAACTTTTTAATGAGGATTCAGATGCTGAAGAAAAGGGATTTCCTCATAACAGCAGTACTGGTGAAGAAGGAGAAGGCGTGCTTCAGCTTCCTTGTAATTTGGCAGGGTTAAGCTATATTGACTCACAAGAACCTGGTGAATTATCACAGGCTAATGCACTTGATTTTGTGGATAAGTTCCTCCAAGTTAATATTGAGGAGTTTGATAAAGAAGTTGACCGTGGAAAGAGTGCTGGGGAAAATTCAAAATTTGTCTCAAGTGCAAAAGGGCCACAAAGATTGGCCAAGAAAGCCATTGATAAAAGCATAGTTCAAAATGTAGGCATTTTTGATTGGGATGACAGCCGGGAGAATGAAGAGGGAGGTGATTTTTTCTGCCGGAGAAAGACAGACTTCTTTGGTGGTGGAAGCCATGGCTGGAGATCTCTTCCCCAATCCCAGAAGTCCAAAGGGAACAGACAGGAGGGCCAGAAGGATAACAAAAAACAAGTACAGGGAAAGAAGAAGAAAATGGGTGTAATTCATTCAGATTCAAAACTATTGTTGCATAATTCAAAATTCGACAAGAAGACAGAACATGAAGATGAAATCAAACATAAAAAGAATCTCGCTAGTGAGTTTGACAAGCAGTTTGACATCAACTCCCCTAGAGGACAGTTGGATGCTAATGTCGAAAAGAACAATGATCCTGAAATGCTAGATGTAGGTATTGATACTCAAATGGCAGCTGAAGCTATAGAAGCATTATTTAATGGTGAAGGAATTTCCAATTGTGATGCTATTACTGCACTTCCAGATGTTCAAGGAAATCCAAAAAGTTCTCCTGAAGGTTCCATGGGTGAAAAAACAAAGAATACACTTTCTTCAAAGAAACACTCTTCTCAGAAAAGAGTACGTCTGTCTGATGCAGGGGTTGCTTCTCGAGAATCTCAACAAGCCAAGAAAACTAGGATTGGTGCCAAATCTGGGAAACGTTTTTCAATTTCATCTCCAGAATATTCTAAGACTGCCAGGAAGAAGTGCGAAACAGAGTTGGTGATAACAAAATCAAAGAAGGCCAAGTCAAATGCTAAAAAGCACCTTAACATCAATGGGAACAAAAGCTTGGAGAAATACCTTCTGTCGCTATTGACCTGAGAACAGAAGGATCTATAAAAAGGCATTTACCAGATGTTGGTAATTTTGTACCTGTTGCACGTCGGACTAGACAGTCTATGGTGGTAAATCAGTTACAGAAAGCTGACAAAGTATCAAGTGATTGTGGAGAAGAGTCGAGCTATCAGACACGGAATGTCGCAATTAGGGAAAAAATAATTAGTTTTACAGGTGTTCAGAAGTCTAAAGTGCTAAATGCAAAATCTTCAAAACTAGGTTCCAATAAAACTGGAAAAGTTGGAAATACCAAACCAAGCCAACAGGAGTCGTCAGATTTCAAGTTCGAAGCAGTTAGTAACGGTATTAAATTGGATGTGTTAAACTTTCCCAAAAGAAGAAGATCTCGGCGAAATATGTCCATTCAGGTTTATGGACCCAATAACTCAGATGGTCCATCTGAGCCATCTGTTCAGGCAGACAAAATTGGACAACATGTCAATAGCCACAAAAGGTTGCGGAGTGGTGCGAAAAACATTTGCAATGATATAAAGTTGACAAGGAGGATGCGATCATCTACATATGGAGAGCAGAATTTGGATGGAAAGTTTGCTCGAGAAATTTTAAAAGGGGGTCCTGGGGAAGCTCCCCTTCGTTGTAATTCTTCTCATAAGGATGGGAGAATGATATCAGAGATTATAACTGGCAAGAAGGTAGTTGGGATCTCTGACAGGAAAAGTGATGCAAATTGCTCTTCTGCTACTAAAATGTCGGATGAATTCCCAAGAGAGAACTGTAAACCATCTGATTCATCATGTACTACTCCAGTTAACAATAAGGTGCCTGTCAATGCTGCATCTCCTGTTTGTATGGGCAATGAATATTTCAAACAGACATGCAAGAGGAGGCTGTTAGGGTCAAGTCTTTTGAAAGAAATCCGTGGCTTAAGTGCAACTGTGTGTGAACCAACTTCAACACCAGAGTTAAGAAAGAGGAGAGATATGACTGATGTTCGAGTATTGTATAGTCACCACTTGGATGAGGATATAATTAAGAAGCAGAAAAAGGTACTTCGTTAATTAGTTTAGTCTAAATATAAACTCTAAAGTAATCTTATTTGTTGATCTTTGTCTTGTAGATTTTGGCCCGACTAGGAGTTTCTGTAGCATCGTCTATGACAGATGCCACGCACTTCATAGCAGATCAATTTGTGCGTACAAGAAATATGTTAGAAGCTATTGCTTTTGGGAAACCAGTGGTGTCACATTTATGGCTTGAGAGCTGTGGACAAGCTGGCTGTTTCGTTGATGAGAAAAGTCATATACTAAGGGATAATAAAAAGGAGAAGGAGTTTGGATTTAGCATGCCAGCGTCATTGGCACGTGCATGCCAGCATCCACTTTTACAGGTAAATATTATGTTTATGTTGGTTTGACCAGATTTATTAGCTACTTATTCTGCAGTTCTGTTAACAAGTGAGTTCTGCAGGACCGTAAAGTCTTCATCACCCCAAATACAAAGCCTGGTAAAGAAATAATTTCGAATTTGGTCAAAGCAGTCAAAGGCCAGGTACAGTATTTATCTGTTTTGCAGCATTCTTAAGTGTCTTAAAAAAACTTTTTGATAATAAAGAACAGATTGTTTTTTTCTGCAGCAGAAAAAACAGAAATTAAGCTCTCTCTCTCTCCCTCTCTCTCTCTCTCTCTCTCTCTTCGTGCACGTGGCCACATGCATGTATACTTTTTATTCTTTTTCTTATCTGATATTTCGGGTGCCATTACTTCCAGCAAACTTTAGGTTGAGTTGGTTTTGATGTTATTTGAATTGCCCCTTAGGCCGTGGAGAGAATTGGTAGATCAACTCTGAACGCTGATAAAATTCCAGATGATCTATTGGTTCTATCTTGTGAGGAAGATTATGAAATATGCGTGCCCTTACTTGAAAAAGGTTAGTAGCAATCTTCTTTATGTCAAAAGTATCTATAGGAATAGAACTGATTGTTGTGACACTGCTGTATACTTGCAGGAGCTGCAGTTTACAGTTCAGAGCTGCTATTGAATGGGATTGTTACTCAGAAGCTGGAGTTTGAAAGGTTGGTTTTATTTCCAGAGTATCACTTTTACTATCAGAAAATAGTATCTTTTGTTCTGGTCGAGAGGGAAAATAACAGATTAAATGGATTATGGAAGTTTATAATTGTATTCAATTGGTTTCATCCTCTCCCATAAAATTTTATTTTATTTTAAAAAGATAACTGGTTTTGATTCCTAATGTTCATCCCTAGCTTGGCGAAGACTGGAGTTTATGTATAATGGATTCTTAACCTTGTTTCCCTAACACATTTTGCAAAAAAATTGGACAGGCATCTCCTCTTTTCTGATCAAGTTAAGAAAACCCGTTCTACCATATGGCTGAAGAAAGATGGCAATAAGTTCCTGCCTGTAACAAAAAATAAATAAGGTGAAACATTTTTGTTTTATCAGTTTCCCTTTTTCTCCTTTATATGGTCACCCATTTTTGTTAGTTGCTTTCCTAATTGACTTGTTTCTTTTTTTCCTTTTATTTTTTTCCTTTTATTTTTTTCATGTATAAATATATATGCTGTACATAAAAAGTGTAAATTTTTCCGTCTTTATTCTCCCCTATTTACTGGGTAATGTAGCTAGTCAGTGGTCAATGTTGCAAATCGTGTAATTTCAAACTTGATGTATCGAAGCCATGGTTCCTGGCACTAATCGATTACTTTACTTCAACACAATTTGGTACCTTTAAAAGATTGAGCTCTCGTTCTCTCATGTAAGATGATATTAAGTCATGGTATACGTTATAGAGTTATGAAGAAGCAAACCCACTATTAGAATTTTATAGTTATGGCATTATCTAAGGCCCTTAGATGAAGTCTTATCTTTTAACCATTGAATCAAATTGATTAGCCGTTGGATTCATTGGTTAAGAGATATGACATCATCTAAGGGCCTTATATAAGGCTCTCGCTATAGGACTTCACCCACTAAAGCTTGTTGAAACTTGCAGAGGGTTCGTCCTTCAACCAACCCAAGATTTGACCATCAATTGGATCATGATTAATGACCTTGATAATACTATCCACTAGGGGGCGAGATGAGGAAAATGGTGCACTTTTGATCAGAATTAAAATAAATAAATAGAAAACAGCAAAAGCAATTGGCCAAAAAACTTGTTTCTTACAGGCTTCATCTTTATATAGTACTGTATACTATTAGTTAAATTTGGCAGGAAGAAGTTAAATTTGGCCTGAGTAATGGATGTATACTAATTTTTTAACAATTGGCCAACACAATGCAAGCGATTCATTGTTTGTACCAGGATTCAGTCATACTGGGCTGGAGTTTTGATTTTGTGCAACTTGAACTCTCCAGGTGAAATAGTGCATATACAATGAGTTGAGGCTCATGGCTATACCAAAACCCAATACCGAAGCAATCAATATTGAGTAAATAGCCATCAGATGAAGCTGAAAGAGAGAATAAAAAGGTTTAGTTAACAAGACAACAAGATCTAAATTCAAAGGAACATCTGAATCAAGTAAGGCCCTGATGATAATGGAAGCAAAAGCGGAGTAAAACAATCAAGCACTTGACATTAAGCTACTTTGGTGGTCAAGATTTCAGATAAATTGTGGAAAAAAGCAGCCGCACTAAGCAACACACACATAGAAATCATGGAGCATATTAATGACATGGAGAAAAGCAAATTTATTTGTACATGAAATCACATTAGACAACACCACTTACTATGGAGTAGAGCAGATGGACGAGAATGGCCACAAGTGCAAACTCAAGAGCTGCATATGTCCATATATACTCCTTGATTGCTGCAAATTGGACAAGCAAACAGTGAGAGAGTTATAAACTATAAAGAGAGAAGAGAACTAGTACTTTCAGAGGCTCGTACCAAGGATGATGGAAAATATGGATGCCAAGAGGCCCAATGTAAATGCAAATGGTGCTGCAATAACAATCGCTTGAGTTTTCAAGTCACCAATCTACACAATGCGAAAGAGCAGAATTACCATGCTTATGCCAATTATTATAGAACTTTTTTTTGGTCGAAAAATTATTACAGAACTTGAAAATATAAAGATGCTCGATAAAAATTGCTGCACTTTTGCTAATCATGATTAATTACAACTTGAACCAGTTCTGTCTCTACTTTCAATGTGTGTACTTTTTGGGACGCTGTATTTGCTCAGACAGTTTCTAGACCATACAAATGAACAGAAAAAAAATTTCATGACACCTGGAGCCGCATGTTACGTGTTCTTACACATTGTCTTGTGTATTGCTGCGTACGGTTTAATTGCACATAATCAGACTGGATTATTTTGAATTTAATTTGAGATTGGATGATGTCAAACTCAACATGAGACATGAATAATTCTAGTTTAGTGGAAACCAAATAATTTGTTCTCAAAGTTTCTTCAATAGAAGAATGGCATACCAGTAGCTGCTCAAGGAAGAAGAAATAGCATATTGTGCTAATTAAGACCAGTACCACAAAGTCCTGCCAGGCACTGCATAAAATTATGATTTAATTAGCTATAAAAGGTAAATAGAAGCAAACTATCATATGCTTGACAAAATTGAATTCTATAAATAAAGTACAGGGGTGACTTGCTAAAAAAGAAAACCCTACAGCAGACATTTTATAAATCAATGACGTGGCTAAAATGGCTGTAATTTCTCTGCAAGATAAGAAATATGTGGATCCAAACTATACGATTTGGATCATCTTCTGGCACTTGAGATGGAGAAATCTATTTGGACATCCATGACATCATGACTGACTGGAAATGGATGCATCATATAAAGGTTTCTATCCCTTTTTTTCTTTCTTTTTTCATATATCTTTATGATGCACAACCTTTAATAGTCATGATACCATGAATCTCTAAATAGATCTCAATCCCACAATATCTCACCTTATCGTTTCTGGACGCAAGCTCTGTTGATTGTGCTCCTGTCTGGTACCCCTTTGAACAGAGCTCTGCACCCGAAGTAAGGTTACAGGTAAATTCTGAACCTCTTTCCCACATACATCACATTTCTTGTTTCCTTTTGTGCTAAACCACTTAATGGCACACTCTTCATGCACAAGTCTGAGAGCACCTTTGCAAAAGCATTCCATTTTGAGTGTATTTTGTTCTTCACATACATCAAGACATATCCTGCACACTGCTTCTTCTTCTGGAATTTCTTCATCATTGGTCTCCTCCACTGGAACTGGAGTTATTTGATCTGATTTGCCAAAAACAAAGTTAGAGAGGATTATATACGGTGCAATCATTTTACAAATCTTTCCTAACTTTTTCCATGGGACCAAGCGCATGGCTCGGTGAACCACTCTGCCAAACCAAACAGGATTGAGAAGCATCTCATTTGACTCTGATCCATTTTCTTAAACAGAAATGAATGTAACTAGATCCCAATGGCAAAGAGAGAGAAAAAGAGGAATACGTAAGGCAATCAGTAGAAATAAATTAATGAGAAAACCTTTGAAGTTATAGGATGTTTATCTTTAGCTGACTCTATACGACTCTATACCCTGAAAGATGGAAATTCATCCTATCTTACAAATATGTAAGCTGCATATAAGTGCAGCATGAATAAGAAACTAAAACAGCAGATTTACTACCTACCATTACTAGGATCTGTTTGGGTCTGCACATTTCGAGTAGCAAAAGACACGGATCTTACAATGACAATATTTCTTCCAGGCACAGACAGGGACCTTGAAACTGTAGCCTGAACAGTTTCTTTCTGCACAACATTAACCAGAAGTATATCAGATTTTTCTTGGTTAGATGAGTTTCAGATTTACAAACCATCACATTAAAAAGGGAAAAATTTGAGAGAAGCACAAAGATTCAGATTTCTTTTTCTTTTTCATAGAGATATGGTAGTTTAATGGCGAAATTGGGCTGAATTATAATATAAAACTATTAAGAGATACCCTGAGTATCTAAAGTGGAAACATAAATCAGATTTCATTTGTGGGATAATGAATGGTCAGACATCATTCTTGGAAACAGCATTTATGGGATTAAAAAAAAAAGATATCAACGATGTCAGTTCAATCATTGAATGGTTTCTGTCTGGCAAATCATGAGAAAAGTGGAATTATCTTTGTTGCATGATCAATTTTATACGAATAAGTTCACGTCAAATCTCAAAAACTAGGGAAAATTCTAGAATGCATGACCACTTACATGTGGCTTGTGCACTTCATTATACATCCTCGCAGAGATAGGTGTAGAAACAGAGGGGGACAAATTTGACGCCGGCGTAACAGGAAGTGAGGTACATCTTGCCCAAGGAAGAGCTGATGCAAAATTGGCCATTGTAGGACTTTCAGGAGCTTTACTGGGGTCTGTACTAAGGAGGGAGCTTTTCTCACCATCTGGTAGAGTAGCTTTTTTCTTGAAGCTTAAACCCCGGAAGAGGCCACCTGATAGTGAGTTAGCCTTAGAGGAGCCTTGAGACTGGAGTAAACCCTTTCCGCTGCGGCTACCACCAAAAGCCGCAGGCCTTGGGGGTATTTGAAGTGATATGTCTGGGCGCCTCCCAGCAGGTCCTGGGTCTGTAGCTTCTTCCTTCACATTTTCGGGACCAGCCTGCATAAAACAATTATCTAACACTACTTGTCATTTGGCCTATTAGCTTTCATAAGATTTCTTATATCACTCCAACAAACTCAAATTTTTATTACAAAAGGAAAAACAACCCATATTTCAACAGTGGGTAGGAGGGTGTGCCCATTGCACAATTCAGCCAAATGGCTATAAAGACCATACTGATTTTAAAACAACACAGATCTGCAATAATAACAAAGGTAACTATAAAGCAGTTACATAACACAATCAAGATCTGCAAATACTAGTTAAGGAAGGCAAAGAAGAATGTAACAGTTTGAAATCAGTTCCACTAAATAAATAAAAAACTAAAATTAAACCAGTGAAATGAGAAACTGGACACCCATAAACTTCATTCTTAACGCTATCAGATAATGATTCATCACCTGAAAACCAACCACCAAAGACAAAAATAACTATAATCCAGCTCTAATTTAAATACAGCAGCAAACCAAACAGATAGTATTTGTAAAAATGGAAAGAAAGAAGAAAAGGGATGCCCAGTGAACCCAGTTGGTTTCTTGAGCTATATCAATGGAGATTCAAGCCCAAATCTTTTTTTTTTAATGAAGAAGGGGGGAAAACCCCAAGAATTCTGCTGCTTGCACACAGCTCCACAAGTAGTAAATGCAAACATTGTAACAAACAAATATAGTGAGAGGTAGGGAAATTAAGAGATAAACCTGAGCAGGAGGAGCTTCTGCAGCTCCATTGCTCACTGCTTGAGCGGCTTGCATTGTTCTTATTAAAAAGATTACCCAGAAAATAAAAAGGAATGACAAATCTGAAACAGATACTGAGGAATGAAAGATTTAAGGAATTAGGGAGAGTGGTGATGAGCAGCGGAGTTTTTTTTAATTTATTTTTTACTTTTAATAATCGGAAATGTTATAAGGAAGACGCTGGTCTGGTCCGGTCGCGTAGAAGATGACGCGAAATTTGTTTGATATCTCCAGAGGCTTTCTTCTCGTTGCCGCATTTACTCCCCCACTCGCGCCCTTTTTAGAAACTTTCTTACTCGCTTTTAAGGGCCCACTTCTTTGTTGCATAATTTGCATTTGCATTTTCTTTTTCTTTCAATATGATATATTCATTTTTTTTACCAAATAATTTGTTGGTGTAGTGATATTTTTCTTTCAAAATTAAAAATATTCCAAGTTAATCGATGCATGAACATTAGAGTATCACCATTGAATTATTCTGATTTTCAGCTTCTTAATGGTTTTTTTTTCAATACAAGCGATAATATGTACATACTATTAAGATATCACGAGAGTTCAAACTTGAGATTACCGATTTGCAAGTCAATGTCATTTTTCACTGAATTGACTGATTTCTCATTATTTAGTAACACATACATAATTATGAATAAATAAAAAATGAATTTCACATTATAATTCGTAATTCAATACCTAAAAATACATGAATTAGATTAATTAAAGTATGTGGATTGCATCATTCATGAGATGAGGGAAACTACCCTACTTGTAGTTATGAGTTGGCCCATCGCATTTAATTTCATCATCATCGTCGTCAACACCATTTTCAATCCATTCACCACACACAAACGAAACAAAAGGAAAACAAAGCAGCACACAATGGATCTTTTCGCTACCAGCCTCCAACAAAAATCCATCAGTTGTAGAATTGTTCACAAGCTAGCTATTATTCTCGTGTGCATAGCACTAGCAGAAATTCACATGCCATGGAAGAATCAGCTACACACCCTTCATTATTCAATAATTATTTATTGAATAATGGGACAATAATCAACTCCACCATTCATGATTTATTAAAAATTATAGGTTCACTTGGTGAGTGGACTAGAAATTCAAACTCAAGACATCGTCTAATATTGAGAAAGATCTTAGCACCAAACTAGCTATAAAACAAACATTAAAATTGAGTGTCGAGTTACAATTTGGGGTTAAGTCGTGTTTCGAAAATGTAGCTTATAATTTATGGGTTAAAGTTAAAGTCAGGTTAGATTTGGATGGGTCGGATCCAAGTTAAAGATGGCGATTTTTTGGATATTATAAAATGTGGTTTGATGCAGACGTGTGTTAGGTCAGTTGATCAGGATAGTGAGTTAGGTTAGTTGGTCAAGGCAGTGAGCTCGTCCGTTTACATTCAAGTTTGAATTCTCCTATCAGTAAAGTAGATTAATTTAGATTATCGCTTGTATAAAAAAAAAATTGTTAGTTTGATTTTATTTTAATTTTTTGTTCAAATGTTGTTATAATCTTTACTTACAAAAAAGAAAAGGGTATTCTCGCACCTCTCCGAAAAAGAAACTGCAACCCAAAACGCCAGGCCCATCTCGAAGTCCTGAGTCCAAATCCAAACTCCAAAACGCAAAACTCACTCTCGCAGGTAGAGAGGGAGAGTCTTCACCAGAACTCCGTCTACTCTTGAGCTGTGTAAATCTCTACTCTCATTTTTTCCTTTTAATTCTTTAGCAAACATGCCCTTATAATATGCTTATTGAAATCGAACGTTTGATTTTTTTTTTTTCTTTGGGTTCTGTATGTGTCGTTCTGTAGTGAAAATGAAGTTTCTGGATTGGTATGTAAAGATTGCACTCGGGTCGGCTCTTATTGGAGCTTCCATGGAGTTTTTCATGATCAAAACCGGCTTCTGTATGAGAACTCCTCCTTTTCACTCCTTTCCATGTTTTTCTCCAATTGCTTCTTTCTCCTGATTACTATTGCTTTGCTTCTTCTATCTTTTCTTCTTTTTTTTTTTTTTTTTTTTTTTCTTTTTTTTTGTTTGGTGCAAGTATCTATCTGCCCCTGATATTTATAACTGGAGTTTGCAATTAACTGTTTGGTAGAGGATTAAGTTCATCCTTAAATTTAGAAATTTTTTTCCTTCTGAGAATTGATTAGATTGTGATTGTATGGTGCAAATTCATGTAATTTGATAAATATTACAGGGTTGTTCATAACTGTTATAATGTATGAAAGCAAAACATCAGACTTGTATTAGGGAATTTTGAAAACGGCTGTGATGGCATTATATGTGCACTTGTATATTCAATGTTAGATATGAATGATATTGGTGGTTGAACTGAACTTAGATGAGGTTTCACATTGACACGGTTTTTATTGATTTTTGGACCCTTTGAATTGGCACTTTTGTTGGTGCTGGTTACTCCCAAATGGAGTTCGAACTTGGGGAACAACAGTTTCCACTAAATATTTCCTTTGATCTGTGTTGCTCCCCATTTGAGCCCTTGTAGCGGTGCACTTGGACTATGGTTGGGCCCTCAAGTTGTCTTTGGCCACCTCTCCCCTCTTCTCGCCTCGGGTGTCTCCTGTCCTAACCATTTGTTTTTCTTTCAGCAAAAGAACAAACACAAAAAAAAATATCCACTCTCTTTTGGCCCATCTTTACAAGAAATTAGTTACCTTTACATGTTAATGTTGTTTCTTTTCGAATGTCCACTTTTGTTGCTTGGCTTCATCTATTTGAATTGTTCTGTGCCATATTTACCAAAAGGGTGCCTGTTGCATTCTCTCTTATCGTTTTGATTTTGTTGTTGCACAATCTAATTCTTAGTTACATTCTTTCTATGCGGGCAGATGACAAAGTAACTGTTTTGGAGTCAGAGAAACGGGCTTGGGAGAATTCACCGGAGGCTCAGGCAATCAGAGATGCGCTGAATCCTTGGAAAGATCGTGATGCAGAAGCAAGGAAAGAATCCTAAGTTGGATGGCAGCATGTTCATAAGGTTTGTTTAGTATTGCATGTTGGTAGTGGGAATCTAAAGTACTTTGTACAATGCAATCCATTTGCTTAGTACGACATACAATATCAAGAACTGCGACTGTTTATAGTCGTGATGCAATTCAGGATTCACAGTTGCTAGCGGACTCTAATTGACTGTCTTGTTAGTTAGTGTTTTCCTATTTTTCCACAACTTATGGCTGGTTCGTGATCCTAAACCATTTTTGTGTGGGGTGTCATCTGCCTTGTGTTGTTTCAATATCTGTATTAGTATCTATAATAGTAATACAGATCACAGATTTTAATCTTTTGACTTGGCCATTAGTTTCCACGATTGATTGATTTGGACTAATATCTCTACGAAGTAGGAATGGTAGCTGATAGTATTAGAATCTGTTTATGAGCTTAGCTTGAACCATGCCTGGAAAGTGAATATAACCTATGATATTTGACAGCATGATATAGTTGAATTTTGAATATCTTCTTTAGCATGGTAAAGCATCTTATTCTAGTTTTTATTTTAACTCTCATACTGCACAAGATTTGTCTGTAAACAGGTTTGGTATATCAAAAAACTGAACAGCGTTTTTGCGACTCTGCAGGAAGAAGATAACATTATTAGCCGGGGATCATTCTGAAAATACACAAGAAATTACACTGTTTCTTCTGAGTAGAGCAAAGTGAGAGATGACCTTGATCATCCTGAAAATTATTTCATTCCTCCGTTTTCTGTAATTTCTATTCTTGTTGTCCTGGGGACATGATCAACAATTTTGATGAATATGTTGATGTAGCCTTTTCGATTGGTTCTTGTAAGCAACTACAGTTCCGAATGATCGAAACAAAAGTTATGTTACTCGTAAACCTTTAGCATGTGTGCCATGGCTATGAAGCTAAAACCTTTGCGCCATGGAAGAATAGCTTGTACTATCTGGCCGACATTTTTATTGCCTCTGTAAGTAAATTCAGGGTGTTCAATCAACCTGACTGTTGCTTTGATAATTGCTACTAGTAAAGGAGAAAACTGGTATGCCCAGGTTGTCTCTACCTCTCTCCTACTCGTTTTTGTACAACTCATAATGTGAAGTGACTTTGTAATGCACTAAAATGAAATTGGAAATTGAGTGGCTAAAATTTTGTCAAGTAGTCAATAAAAATAGTCACTTACCAACCTCATAAATTTAAGGGAGCTTTAGTTTTAAAGCATAATATAGTTTACTAATTTAGTAGAAGGAAATACAATTTAGTATAATTAGCAAAAGGAAAAAAACCAAAATGTAACAAAAATACCATTACAAAATATGAAAATTACAACATATGCCATTTTCAGTATTTAGTTTTAAACAAAAACTGAAAAACGACATCAAACCAAAACTGAACCAAAACGACATCAACCGAAACCAAAATTGAATCACAACTCCTTCGCGCGACGTTTCAACTTCACCTCCAGAAACCTCTTCAACTTCAACTCCAGAAACCTCCAGACCACCAACGATCATCGAAGACCACCAAAGATCATCGAAGACCACCAACCCATTCGTGCGACCATCATCGAAGACCACCAACGATCGAAGCCGATTCTTCATTCTCTCTTTCAGCAGTTCCAACCTATTCCCCCAAAATCTGAAACGGCGACGAGCGACGACCAGAAGCGACGACCAGCAACGACGACGATTGAAGGGTTTAGCACTCTCTTGGGGAAAAAATCGTAAGAAAATGACCCCTAACACAAATTTGCCTTTGATTTTAGGGTTCTGAAATTTTACTTACTGTCATTCTGCAATGTAGTTTAGGTTTTGGGTTTAGTTTTGGTTTGAAAACCTCTAGAAACCGAAAAATCACAAAAGAGCATCAAAACTGTTTTCTGCACTGAAGAAAACAGAAACTGCATTGTAGTTTCTGCTAAATTATTTATACTTCTTTCCATTTCACGCCATGTTGTTATGTAGTTTCTGTTGTGTTTTGTAGTTCTTGTTTTGACTATGCTGATCTTTCAATTTCATGTCAAGTTGATGTATATTTTCTGGTATATTCTGTTTTTTGCATTGCAGTGAACCACAAACTGCATTGCAGTTTCTGTGCATTTCACGCCATGTTGTTATGTAGTTTCTGTTGTGTTTTGTAGTTCTTGTTTTGGCTTTGCTGATCTTTCAATTTCATGTCAAGTTGATGCATATTTTCTGGTATATGCTGTTTTTTGCATTTTAGTGAACCACAAACTGCATTGCAGTTTCTGCGCTTCTTGAATGTTGCTCATTTCACGCCATGTTGTTATGTAGTTTCTGTTGTGTTTTGTAGTTCTTGTTTTGGCTTTGCTGATCTTTCAATTTCATGTCAAGTTGATGCATATTTTCTGGTATATGCTGTTTTTTGCATTTTAGTGAACCACAAACTGCATTGCAGTTTCTGCGCTTCTTGAATGTTGCTCATTTCACGCCATGTTGTTATGTAGTTTCTGTTGCGTTTTGTAGTTCTTGTTTTGGCTATGCTGATCTTTCAATTTCATGTCAAGTAGATGCATATTTTCTGGTATATTCTGTTTTTTGCATTTTAGTGAAAGCAAAATTGCATTGCAGTTTGTATTTTATCCAATGCAGTTTTTGAATCATTCAATCTCATTGTACAGGGTATTTTGAAAGCATATAAAAAGAGAAAAACTACCAGAGAAGAGGGAGACCCTCTTGACAATTTGAAATCATTACAATTTGTGTCTACTCAACCATTCATTACAATTTGAAATCATTCAAAACCAAAAGCTAATCTCGTATTCATTTGCAGGTTGGATTGCGGCATGTTCGTCATGTTCTACATGGATAAAATAGCACAAGGACAGCCCATTCCAAAAAGTGTGGACAAGAAATTCATGAATGAATATCGAGCACAATATGTCACAAAACTCCTACACCACAAACACTGTGTAATTAATCGTCTCTAGTGATTTGCCTTTCGTTAACTCAAGACAATATGTATCTTAATTCTTGTGGATGTTTGTAAATATTTCTAGTTATGGTATATGAGAACATACTTGCAAAAATTATTCTGAAATTGAATTATCGAACAAGAAACTGCACTGCAGTTTCTGGTCTCGAACAAGAAACTGCGTTGCAGTTTCTGGTCAAAATCTGCACTGCTGCTCAAAAGGTAAAGGCATAATCAAAGTACTAAAACTAATATCAAAACACATTTAAGTAGGTCAGCAGTTGTAACATTCCAATATACTTGCAAAAATTATTCTGAAATTGAATTATCGAACAAAAAACTGCGCTGCAGTTTCTGGTCTCGAACAAGAAACTGCGCTGCAGTTTCTGGTCAAAATCTGCACTGCTGCTCAAAAGGTAAAGGCATAATCAAAGTACTAAAACTAATATAAAAACACATTTAACTCCATGAGCAGTTATAACATTCCCATAGACTAGCAAAAAGTATTCTGAAATTGAATTATGGGACAAGTTCTGTTCAAAATCTGCAACAAATAAACAGAAACTGCAGTGCAGGTTTTGCAAAAAGTGCAATGCAGAAACTGACTATACATTCACTAAACCATATCTAACGTAAGCAATCGTCAACTGAGAAGGAATGTTCATATCACAGCCTTGCAAATCTTCCTATTATGCCCAGTAACACTACACCGACTGCATTTCAATGGCCTTTTAAATTCACCAAAAGCTTTGATCCTCTTTGTTGGTGGTCTTCCGGCTGGCCTCTTTGTAATTGGCGGAAGCACAACTCCAGCTGCAAAACTGTTGCTGCCCAAGCCTTTCCCAATATCTGGAATAGGAAAAATAGGACTCTCATAGGCTTTTCGAAAGAAGTCAGTCCTATAGTAACACTCCACGTAATCATAAATTGAATCTTTCTTTGCTAGAATTGCAGCTACCCTTAAACCTTAGACACAAAGTCTTCAAAATATCAACCATGGATGACTCTGATGAAACTGAAAACAGCATGGTTTCCGACTTATATGTGCACTTGGCAATGACACACACCTCCATTAGCCTTGAAAATGCAAACAAAACAACAAACAAAAACAGAAAACAATTTAAATCAGTAAATAATGTACATGAACAGTTGTAAAATTCCAATAGACTTCCAAATATTAGTCTGAAATCGAATTATGAAACAAGAAACTGCAATGCAGTTTCTACCAAAACTACAACAAACAGATGTAGTTTATGACAGAAAATCAAAACAATTCGAATAGAAACCAAAAGGAAACCACGATAAAAGTACTAAAACTAAATTCCATAAACATACAAGTCGATATAAACGAAAACAGGTTATAAAGTACTCATACCTCAAAACTTAGGACTGCCAAAAATCTCCACAACCAAACAGCAGCTTAAAATCAAAATCTGATCACGAAACGAAGAATATAGGGTTTAGCATTGAACGCCACAAGATCGCGCCGCAAAATCGAGCCACAAAACTGAGCTCGAAATACCCGAACTAAGGAGAACAGAAATCACCCAAAACTGACAGTCATTCAGCATGCAAATCGAACGAAAACGTAGCAGAAAAAAGAAGACAGAAAAACGAAGAAAATAAAAGCAAAACCTACCAGAAAATTGAGCTCCAATGGCAGAACCCAGCTCTGAAACGAAGAAGAAAACGAACGAAAACGAACGAAGAAGAAACTCGCGCGTCGTTTAAACGTTCAGAGGCAAAAGCGTAATTTAATTTGTAGGTTTACAGATGGGCCAGGCTTTTTAAAAGAAAAGGGTAGAATTGTCTTTTTATTTGTTATTTTTAAGCTAGCCCAACGAATCTGGGCCAGCCTTTGGCCTAATCTAAAATAGCTATTTTTTTTTAAGTATTAAAACCCAAACTAAAATACCTAATATCTCACTTACTAATTAGTAAACTTAATAATGTCTAATACCTAATTTTCCTTAAATTTAAAGCCACATGATATCTTGAAGATGTAAGAAACAACACGTCCTGAACTTAAAAACAATATTTAAAAGATCATATGAAAGCGTGGTAGCTTGACACTGAAAACAGGAGTCGGAACACTTGAATGCTTGTCGGCACATCCCAAGATTTGGCAGTGCGTTTTCAATAATCTATAATTTACTTTTTGTGCTAATGGAAATTAGCACCTGAGCTTAGGGAGTAGGTTAGCTAGTCAGATAATGAACCATTAAATTGATTATCAATTTGTCAAGGAAAAAAAAAAGGGATTGGTTAACAATTTATCGAAACCAAAAAAAAAATTGGGATTATCAAACCCACTTTAAAAATAATTATGAACATGAGTCCTTCGTTATGTTGCTATTTATTAGTATTTTTACCAGTATCGATTAATCAATAGTAAATGTCATGTATCATATTCATCGATCACATTATTCATTACATTTTTCACGTAAATAAGACTTATCTGCACTAATGAATTATATCATGCAGTCAACAATTTGATTAGATTTAAAATTAATTCGCAATGGAAAGAGAAATCCAATATCTTATGTGCAAGAATTTTTTTTAATATCCAAAATGAACAGTTTGGGAAAGATGAGTGGATGGATGACAGAACCCACCACCAAATTGGAATGTCAAGCGAGAACCTACCACATTTTGACCAAATAGGAGTGAGAAGTGCGTTTTGTCACTTGTCAATAACAAAAACAAAAAAAAAAAAAAAAAAAAAAAAAAAAAAAAATTGAACTATGGCCCTATAAGAAAGAAGCATTATATAGGCAAAGATCAAAACCCACCTAAATTTAACCACCACAGAGTTAATATTCAATTCAATGAAAAAGCAGTGAAGATTATGGATTGCAAGGACGGTTTTGTTGATGTGTCTTGCTTCTTTCTATGGGAAGGCAGTGCAGATTCAGAGGCAGATCATCACACTGGCCCTCTGAACGCAAACAACGGCTCTAAAATAGAAATAGCACTTGAAGCTGAGGATGCAGAGTCATGCAGCTCTGGCACACTTAGTGATCATGCATTTGGTGCTTGTGAGGCTCTTGATAGTTACTGTAAGGATGCCGAAGAGCGTCGGCAGAGTCGGTGTAGTAGCAAGGTGTGGCTGCAGTCAGATGCAGGCTCAGGTTACGAGGCAGATGAAGAAGAAGAAGTGGAATCAAAGATGGTTTGTCATGTTAACAACAGCATGGATGAGATGGAGGAGGATAGGCTCTTTTGGGAGACTTGCATGGCAGTAGGGTACCCATCATCAAGTCCTTAATTTGTAATTACTTTTGATTATATACCTCCTCTGTCTTTCTTAATTATTAGAGACATAATTTAAGTTTCGTCTAAAGATGCATGAGAGATTACAGTTAGATATTGTTAAGATTTTTAAGAGACGGTCCAGTAGCTCACTACGACCAATTGTTTTATCAAGTTTTCGGTGGAGATTTCGTCATCCTCTGCCATTGTTCTTAGGCTTTAGAAGCATACATAATTTAAGTTTTGTGTTAAAGATATAGAGAAAATGTCTTAAGGTGTGTTTGCATGCCCTTTCTGGAGCTTTCATCAGTGATCTATGTAACTGTGATTATATATGTCCAATTAAGAAAGATGTATCCTTGCCATTGTGTTTTGGATTGAATTTTATGCACTACTCTTACCTTTTGGTTGAAGATTTATTGGAGGCTTAGCTTTTCTCAGGCGCCTTCCGAAAAAAAAAGAGTTCTCGGAGGTTTGATTATCCGGAAGCTATATCCTCAAACCAAAGAGAACCCCCTGCATATATTATGCTTTGAATGAAAGTGATTTGGAGTTCAATCTATATAATGTATGCTTTGGCGGCATCTATATCTTCCCCTGAAGCAAATGCGGCCACTACGGAAGTAAAAGAAAAACATCACAAGAGTAATTAACTTAAATTAATTGACTATTATTTGGTTTTCGTGGTAACTATCTCCATTTAATTTGAGAAAATTTAACGTTCGACTCACATGAATATAAGAAAATTTGTTGGTATAAAAGTCCCACGAAATTCGTATACCCTTTGAATCCTAAAAGAGTAAATCGATTATATACCAAATTGCATGGTATCGCAAAATTAATTTCCAGATTTTAGTGGATCCTTGTTCAAATGGAAGTGTGAACATGGGGAAAAAAAACTAGCCGTCCTTATAATATAATGGTTATGGCCGTCCAGGTTTATCTGAAACTGAAACGCCAACCATTTGCTTTCTTTTTACTCTCCATCATTTGTGCACAGATCTCTCCAAAAACATACATTGAAATTAATTAGTATCACTATGCCATCGCCAGCCACCATGTATGTTATGTCTTCTGTAAGGCAACAACAGAAGACAACCAAGATAGTCGATCTAGGGACGTGCAAAATCATGTACTTAATTATATTATATGTAAGAAGCAAGGTATATACCTTGAACTACGTTGCAACATTGAAACATTGAAATTTTGTCACCTAACTAAGTTCAATCGCATGTAGTAATGTAAATTTAATAATTGCAAATATCAAACTCATTAAGACATTTGCGCTCATGTTCACTTCATGAATAGAGGAAGTTAGGAATATAGAAGAGAAGGAATGAGTACAAGATCAACTGCTCTTTTCTAATCAATCTACTTCCGAGATTTTTTCAAGTATTGAATTATATATAGATTTTAACGTGGAACCTAGATAGTTTTTTTTTTACTCCTTATGCGTTAGTATTGAACTATACACAAATTCTTATACTCATTAATAGGTAACCCATTTCTTTTGGTCAAAGCATTGGTTCAATGAAGCAAGGGGCAAATGATTAATTAGTAGTTGACTTAGCCAATCATATACTTCAATTATTCAAAATATATCATGAAGAGCATTACCCTTGGAAAAGAGAACATTCAAATAGGTTTTTAATTGATTAATTATAGCACAAGGAAACCAAGAATCAACTTCGAAAGTGGGTTTGCTACTACTATATATATAGAGTCTTGCTGCTTTTGGGATTGCATATTCATTCAGCTAGCAGAAAACAAACATTGGCATTGCTTCCTGCAAGACCATACTCAAAATCATGAGGCTTGTCAATTTAAATGTTGTGTTTGTTTCTCTTCTTGTGCTCATAGAGGTTGTTAGTGTTTGCAATGGACGCGTCCTGAGCCCGGTGTTCTATCGCAGGAGTTGCCCTCAAATTGGAAGAATAGTGAGGAGCATTACATGGAGCAAGGTTGCAGCAAATCCTACCTTGGCAGCCAAGCTTCTAAGGCTCCACTACCATGATTGCTTTGTTAGGGTATAATTAATTTTAAGCACTAAATTTATACATCATTAACACTTACAAGTAGATAATACACCTCACTAATTATGTATTAATTTGTACGGATGTGACGTCTCTTAACGTTATTGATTGAATTGACTTTAGCGGACGGTCAGTTTAATCTACGGTTCACAATGACCTATCATGTGCCCTTCATTAATTTTTCCTAATGCATGCATATTTATGTTGTTTGTTTGTAGGGATGTGATGCATCAATATTGATAGACTCAACTAGTGGCAACAACACGGCGGAAAAGGATGCAATACCAAACAGGTCCATTGGAGGTTATGATGTTATTGATGAAATCAAAACCAAATTAGAGGAAGAATGTCCCGACATCGTTTCATGTGCTGATATTGTTGCCTTGGCTGCCAGGGATGCAATTTCTTACCAAGTACGTGCCATGCACACTAAAATCATTTCTAATTTTATGAAGAAAAAAAATACATTTAAGTGCACAGTTATATACATATATATATATATATATATCATATCATGTAGTGTTACGAATCCACACAAATTTTTTTTTTCTCCGTCTTCTTTTTCTTGTAAGATTTCATATCCTTCATGGCGCTTGTGCAGTTTGGGAGGCCCATGTGGCAGGTTTTGACTGGCAGAAAAGATGGAAGAGTCTCACTTGCCACAGAGGCTTCAAGGGACTTGCCCTCCGGAAATGCAAACTTCACCACCCTCCAACAGCAATTTGCTGGGCTTGGCCTAAACATCATAGATCTTGTTGCCTTATCAGGTACATATATATATAAGTTAT